CAGTACAGTATCTCACGAAATATGACACGCGGAATAATAATGGAACGAAAATTATCTAAAAATAGACCCTATTTCCGAATGATGAAAATGATTGCAGGGCCTCTCAGCTGCCATCTTTCGTAAACAAGACTAGACAGTCACACACTTCCACAGAATATAATGGAAATCAGCACAACCAATTCACCAGCGAAACAGATTTACAAATAATAGACAATACTAAATACAGCACAGATCATAGATATGTTGAATATCATTAATCTGAGATCCAGTTACGATTTTTCCAGATACAAATTTAGTTAGATCGTGATATGCCGCTAATAATTAAAAAAATATCGTTTTTGATACGAATTTCGATATTGGTTATTTTGTATCGATGTATCGATACATCGATATATTTTCAACAAGCCTAGAGTATGACGTAATAATAAAAAACAATATTTATTAGAGAAAATTGTGTAGTGAAAACGTATAGAAACCAATCTTCCAAGAATAAAAAACAGGATGGATTCACATTTCATACGTAAGTAAAGTTAAAACCTAATATTTTCCATTATTCAAAATCAAATTTGTGGTTGTCGCTTTGTAAACAAAACCTGAACGAAACTCTGCCATGATTATACGTTACAGTTTTACCCTTTTGTTGGGTAGCGTGAAATATAACGTAATGTTATTTTATTAAATACATTGTGTAGCATACTTTTATATTATTCGAATATTGTAATGCATGGATAAACAATTAGACGAAACATCTTTATTATCTTTTTTCTTTATGTATTCGTATAAATTTTTTGGGACACATTATATATTATACGTTTTTTTTTACGTTTTCTTATCGAGATCAAAATCTAAAAGAGAAGTGGATTGCAGTCATTCATAAGAGTAGAAATGAACCATTGTGGCAACCAGCTTCCCGCAGCGCGGTATGTTCGTCTCATTTTCAGAGCGACGATTTGTACTACTCAACAAAAGGGTTACGCTGTGTAAAATAAAATGCATATCCAAGGGTATTTTTTTTACTTAACTTAATATGGTTACTAAGGTTAATTTATATTTTAAAGATTCCAATAATTCTTCAGTCGTGCAGACGGTTGATACACAAAATTACACCAATTTTATTTCACAATGGGACCAATTCTGGCGTTACATTCTCTAAACCTAAACTTAAAATTAGAGTGCTAATTTTAGTTTAGGGTTAGAGAATTGGTATTCTGAAATGGCTAACTAACTAAATTAAGAGAACAGTTGACAGCTGTAAACGAGCATCTAAATTGAATTCACAGATTGTGTACAAGCATTGAACCGGTAATTATCGGTTTACTCAAATTAGCAATAATTACTTATTATTCAGTGATTTTGACTTATTTTTTATTTTATTTAAGTAAATCTTTGTTGTTCTTCATCATCTTTGAAATATGAAAACTTAACATAACTTTGTTATTTTACTGTATGAGAAATTATGAATCAATAATATTAAAAAGTGAATACTTGCCTACTCTGTGGTACTTAGGGTTTCTAGATTGGGAGTGTTTATCCTTATTTTGGGAAAAAGCCAAGTATTTACATGGGCTAAACGATGTGACGAAAAAAAATTACAAAGAAGTGCATCGAACGAGCAATTAGGTAGGTACCATTGCGCCGTGATGCAGTCTAATCATTCAGATGAAGTAAATAAGGTAAGTGTACTCGTCCGAGCAAAAACGTTTATTGTTTTGGCACTACGATTGCCCGGCGGCACCGCGCCGGCGCTGTATTCATGCAACGGGCCGTGGCCGAGCCGAGGCGGGACCAAGTTTTTTCCGAGCGTTGTTTCATTTGTTGCTCGGTTGTCAGTCGGTTACTGCATGACAACCGAGCATATAGCGTATAAATAGCGTGAATGTTACATTTTACATGGATTATGTCCATAATCATCAAATCATAAAATAATTTATTTAATATTAGTTAACTAGAGAAGTTCGATGGCGCAGACGATTAGCTCGTTCGGCTGCGATCGTTGAAGTTAAGCAACTTTCGCAGTGGTCGGTCATTGGATGGGTGACCAAACATCTTCTATGTCGAGTTCCTTGTTCTCCCGGCTGCATCTGCAGTCGTTAGCACCCGCCAATCCGCACTGGGCCTGCGTGGTGGGTCATGGCCTAATCTCTCTATTTCATCCATAGGGAAGGCCTGTGCCCCAGCAATGGGGACATTAATAGGCTGATGATGATGATGATGATGATGATTAGTTAACTCTGCTACGGCCGACAGGGTCTAACGTGAACCATCCTTGAAAATTTCTCGCATCGTAAATTCCCAATCCAGCGTATCTATCTAATACCTATAATTTCGGTTTCGGTAAGAGGTTGTAAAATTATCCTTTCGGCTGTTTTGTGAAGATTTTATTCTCATTTATTGTATAATCCGAGATGCGTAACCTATTTTTATCTTTTTTGTTTCTATCAGTTTTTGGCGAGATCATCCCAATCATTTGGTGAAGATGCCCAGTTTAGGATATATAAAAACAAACTTTTCAATTACAAACAGTAGGTACTTATTTCGTGTTTTAAGAAATATGATTAGCTTATAAAAAGTTGGAAATAAAAACATTTCTAACTAATAGGTATTAAAACTGCTTCATAGAAACAAAACCACATAAAACAAAGGAACAAATAATACATTAAAGTCTAAAGTACCTACATTTAAAGTCAAAACAACAATTGGATGGAATGCAAATCACTGACACCATACCTCTATTATCTTGTTAATTATTTGACTATGTACTTTAGATGTAAGTAGGATCTGTAAGTATTACTTATAGAATTAGTACATAGATTTTTTACCTTTTTAGGTTGTTTTTATATGAAGTGGATTTTTATTTATGTTATATAAGATTTTACCTTAAATTATTTAGTATTTTATACAAGATATACGTGTACATTACCTACGAAAGACCACAATAGCGCAAGTGTAACGCTTTCGTTCTGCGATCGTGAATGTTAAGCAATTTTCACAATGGCCATTCTTAGGATGGGTGACCAACCCAAAATAAATTAAATCGAGTTCCTATGTTGCTGCTCGCTGCAGCTCGGATTTATTATAAGCAGGACACATTAATAGGCTTATAATAAATCCGCATCGTAACATAGATCCACCTACCTTTTTAAAAAAATAAAAGATCTAGCTAATATATTATTATCACCATCGTTGTTCATTATTGTATAAAATTTATGTATTTTTTTAACGAAATAAACCCATATCCAACCTTAACAACAAGTTCAAAACTTAAGTACAGCAATCATTTACGTGATATTTGGCCCCAATTATTCACATTTAAATTTAGAGAGGACCTCCGTAGGTCCTTCTTAAATTTAGTGTGACATTTCTAATTTTAGAGAAAATATGACATTTAGAACGCGTTTCAGAATACCATTTAATCATCTAAATCTAAGTTGAATAACTTAGCAACGTCAATTTTAAATTTAGAGATAGAGTGTCATTACAGAATACCAAATTGAATTTGACAACTCTATATCTAATTTTAGTTAGTTTTAGATATAAGTTGGCACGCCAGAATTGGGCCCAATATTCACTATGAACGAATTAAAGAATAATTAAAATATGACGCTAACCGCACTCCATGAAATCCCGCCAAAAACTCCAGGTTAAGCTTTGTTTTTATTATATATTTTTAACTAAACTTTTATTAGTGTAACAGTTATTAAATTTATAAATCACAGGAACTCCAGATCTCCAAGCGCAGGACCTTTGGCTCACGAGAGGTTGGATCTAGCGCTAGTGTAGAGACTGTTGAATGACTGTCGATTGCGACTTTTTACAGATTAAAAGTTTATGAAGTGGTTTTATTTTCATATAAAAATGTAATAAAGAAAACCCCCGGTTTCCCCAAAACTTAATTTCTTCCCCCCATTTATCCCCCATCGCTTTAAAAACCTCCAAATTTGGGGTAACCACCCCCCCCCCCCCCCCAACCTGGCGTGCGCGTCTTGTATTATCTGCCTCCACTGTGGCCATTACCTGCTTTCCTCAAGCTGACATCCTGACATCTCACGAGCCTGTTTTCTGAGTCTGAAGCTGAGGTAGCTTTCAAATTACAGCATTATAGCGCATTATGCGGCATAATGCTTAACGTTGAGTGTTCCAACTACAGTAACGCTTCGCACAATTGAGCACTCTCAAAAGTAATGCTTTCGTGTGATGCGTGCAATCGTACCAACTCAGAGACAGAAAATTAACAAGTGTTTTTTCTTTAAGATCGCAATGTTTTATTTATAAGTTATCGTTAGTAATATTATTTATTGTTGAAAAATTATTAAAACTTTCGTTTCATCATAGTTTTTTTTTAAATAATCAAAGTTAATTCAAACTGTGTTAAAAATTAAATATAAATATGGATGAAGGTACAAACATTGACTTTTTTTTCAACACTGAACTTAGCGCCCTCTGCTGGTGCATTTAAAAACTAATTCACGTTCCAATTAAGCATCAGCATAATTCGGCATTGCGCGCCACTGAGTCGCATTATGCTCTGTAATTGGAAAACCACCTGAACCCGCGTGCACTCTGGCCGTACCCCAAAAAGTAGTATTTTTAATATGGGGCCGTATCCTATGGTGGGGAGAGTGCCACAGATAGTAGAGGACAACCGATGACGAATGCGGCCGCTAGGGGGCGCCTTTGTGCGTGTTCATATGTCAAGACAGGGTTGCCATCTCAATTTAAAAGGGTTGGAATAGGGTAAGTAGCTTATTTAAAATTTTATTTTCAGGTTAAATTTTCCAATTCCAATCTGTGTGTTAATGTGTCAAGTTGACAAGACAATAGCGACAGCAAGAGTACGAATTTCAAAATGTAAACAAATAATTGCTACGCTTCCTAGAAACCAAACAAATGAAAGAAACGTTTTAGGATACACACAAAGAGATAGATTTTTCCCATATTTGTGTGATATCTAATAAATATTTGGATAATTAATACTGCTATAGTATTGAATAATTTTCATGATGTTAAATGGAAACTCAAAACGAAACAATACATTACCAGCAATTGAAATTTTACAGAGAAATGTTAAGAAGACTCCGACATTCTACTCGAGGTAAACAGCATTTTTATGTACCCAGTTTCAGTATAGCTGTGTGTGATATAAAAAAAATAGTACCTACTGTATAGAAGGGTTTTTAAATCTATTATTATTTAAATAACACTACGAACGTAGTGCTGTCGTCTATATTTTCGGAACACAAAAATATTTTCAATAATAACTCTTTTTTTCACAGTTATTCAACACTAAGAAAAAAGGGTAAAACTACTTCCAGGGCCCAAAAGGTGATACTTGTTTTTTTTGTAGAAAAGGTCTTTTTAACAGTTTTTTTTTCTGGCGCCTCGCCGGCCGCTGCCTGCCGCGGCACGCTCGCTTTGCTCGCTCGGCTCGCGCGTTATGGTCACAACACTAACCTAACCTAACGTAGTGTGAAGTATCACCACTTGATAAGAAAAGTAAAAATTTTCAATATTTTTTTCCAAAAAACTACCAATGCATAAGTGTGACATTTTTTTTAATAATGTGGTTAACAGAAATCTTTTTAAAAACAAAAATGCGAAATTACAACCAACAAAACTGTGAAGTTTTTACTTTTGGGCCCTGGAAGTACAGTATATCCGAAAAAAGTTCAATGTTATGTATTCTGTAACTTTTGTGTATTGTTAGAAATTTAGGGCGCAGCCTTACGCTTATGACATCTAAAAGAGATTGTAGTTTTTGTACAAAAACAGCACAAAATTTTATATTAATATAAACAATAATTTAAGTATGAAAATAAAACCACAACATTTTTTTTTCATTATAGAAAACCCCGGGACATACCTTTCCATCTGCCACACAAAAAGTTATTAGAAAAGATAGAATTTGTAAAACCTGAACCAGAACCATTGGTAACTATTTTTATTCAGTATCATTAAACACTATGCCTATTACCATCCTTAAAAATGTATTAATTATTCTAGTCAATATTTATTTAACTATCTCATGTTGATCTTTGATTCTCTGTTGTAACTTTCAGTAAATGATAAAATCGCAATAAAATTATTTTCATAATTTTACAGACTGGATTTATTACTGCTCAAGAGCAACGATTTAAAAATGAACGTAAAATACCAATTTTACAATTGGAGCCAACAAAAGTTGAAGAAGGTGAGGGAGTGCTGATTTTAATTTGTTTATTGTTTTAAAAGGCTTATTAATATTCTTGTATCTTTTCTCATTTTGCTACAGAAAAAAGGAGAAAAATAAAAATTAAAAGTTTTAGTATAGATGAATTTCATACAAAAGATCCCCTAAAAGTGAAACCTGAAGTTGCATCACAAAAGGAAGTTATTGACTATGTAAAAAATAATCCTTCAAGTGGTTTCCTTTATATGATATATGCAGTCCATCCTGAAAATGTTTTTTTCACCCCTTATTATCTAAAGTAAGTAAGATTTTTTTTCAGCATTATCAGTCATCAATTTCCTTTATTTCACTACAAGGCCTTCTTGTTGAGAGAGGTATGAAGAAGATTGATATAATAATAAGAATATCCAGATATCTTACAATAATTATTTTGTTATTTGTATTATGGAAACAAGATAACATGTATATGTATTATCAAATATGGCATATATAAAGTTTATCACCTAGATTGACAATCCTATGTGTCTTTCTACTTTTCATCCTGCTAAAATGTTAGGTTCCTGTGAGATCTTCAAAAAAATAAAAGACCAAGTTGCAGATGCAAGCTAGTATTTTATATTGTTGTTTATGGGTTATTCACTGCATAGGTATCTATACAAATCATGTGAACTTATTTTTAAGTTTTTGAAATATATTCCAGAGTGGTTCCTTATGAAGAGATTGATAAAAAAAATTATCTCACTATCAGCCCTTGTGGAGTTACACATTACACCAATGAAATGGTATTCACAAAATTACAAGCTTGGGAGCAAGAATATACTATATTTGTGAAACTTACTGATGTAAGTAGACTGGTATAGGTTTTTAACTTTCTCCAGTTTTAGTCAAGGAAAATCTATTATGAGAGAAAAGCCGGGGTCGCCAGATGGGAAGCTAGTTTTATCAATTAAAGTAGTAACATTTTCAAAGTTCTCAGTTCTTAAACAACACTCATAGAAACTATCTTTCCAAGCTTCAACCTCTCAATTGATTGATTCCCAAAAATATTTCACTTTCTCCATTCTAACTCTTGTAATTAGTGCTTGGTTTTAGATAAAATTCTTCAGTGTGTATAGATATTGGAAGGCATTTTATGTCTGGCGTAAATCAATATTATTCAGAAAATATAGCAAAACTCGTATGAAAATCGCAAAGAACCTGTTTATTCTTACACCTGTTCTTGGCAAGGCTTTACTTAGTATCCAGGCAATGTGTTGTGAGATGTATATGAAAAGCTTTGCCGATTTGTCCAGAGATATGGACACTGCATTCTTTTACTTCATAGAAGTTCAGGTAATAACTAAATAATCATCATTATTATTAAGTGAGATCTAATTTGTTTTGATAATATTGTAAATTATTATTTTTAGTTGTATAAGTTGAATTTATTTGATTTTGCAGATTAGATAATTGCTTTAATGGTTATAATCTTTTCTACATAATGTTTGAAGCCGATAACATGAAAAATTCCATAATTTTATTGTGAATTCGTTTATATTGTTAACGGAATATAATACATTCCATAGGTTTATCAATTTCCTAGTAAAAGAGATTGCTCAACTTCCATACATGTTTGGCCTAAAGACCAATAATCATGAAAAATTGTTTCCTAGATTCGAAATTATATATAAATTACTGTAGAAACGAATATTATTGACCTACACCCCTGAGAACTTCTATAAACCATATACACTGAACATATTAAAATAATAAAAAACAAATAAGTTATATAGTAAACTAGGGAAATCAAGCCAAGTACCGAAATTATGGATTAGATTCAGGTATATAGAGCATGTAGATTAACAGATAGTTGCCTGTTTTTAAAGTTAATGCAAAAGAGTAACTTTTAAAATCAGTTGTCATTTCCGGTTATAATAAGGTACTCTGTGATGCTTGTGAATGAGCCACAGATTAGAGATAATTTTTAAACTCTCGGTAACCAAAGAAAGCTAAGAGATTTAGGTTCTATAGCCATATATTCAGTAGCTTCATTATTTTTATGTTTTTAAGATAACCATATTTTAGATTTTTAGTGTATTTTGTACACACCTTATAATTTTATTTATTTATTAATTTATAGTCAGGGAACATAGGCCCATAGATAGATACCTTAAAGTCTAACATATATACAGATTATAATGTGTTTATGGAGGTGTTTGGCGAAAAATGTATGGCAATAGACTTTATGATGTCGCCTACCATCTATAAGTGTCTGTGCACATTTGCATCTAGTGAAAATGATAATATAGTTGTGGATATTAATACCACAATGTAATAAAAAAAAATTATTTCATCGATCTTTACAAAATAGATTTGTTTTTATGTTATATAAACAACTTCGATCAGTCTTTGGCTGAATGTTACTACACCCATAACCATTAAAAATGATTCGTATGTGTTCCAAACCGGTAAAAATAAAAGTCCTTTTTAAAGAAAATATATTATACAAAGGTGTCCGTTGAAATCTAATGACTGTAAATTAAATTATAATTTACGCCAAGAATTACCGTGTATGTCAATATTTTTTGTGCATTTGGGTCAATTTGAGCAATCTCCTTTATCAACTTTGGTAAGAATATAAATGAGAGATAAAATGTATTATTTTAAGGGGACATTTTTGTAAATTAATCATTTTACCACGAGACGTCGACAAATAACTAAAAATTTCCTATCCTAAATCAGAGTTTAATTTTACGTCATTTAAATTTACGTAAAATAGTACACAGCTGTCTAATTGGTCGCCGTTAGCGACTTGGTGCTTCCCGCCATAGACTTAGGTGCAATCAGACTTACCAAATAAATAATTATACTTATATGCTGAAGTAAAAAAGTGAAAAAGTGTCTTATCTTGTCTGGCTTATTTGATTCGAATAGGATAGACTTTATTTGCATGAATGTGGTACACCTTACATTCAGATATCCTAAATACATTGTTTAAGTTCAGCATATTCTACCTCACATAGGTATGCAAATATTTTCATACACAAGATGACTGTATAAGTGCCTACAAGGCTAAACTGTACTTCCAGGGCCCAAACAGTGATGCTTCATACTAGGTTAGGTTAGTGTTGTGACCATAACGCGCGAGCCGAGCGAGCAAAGCGATCGTGCGGCGGTAGCAGCCGTCGAAGCGCCTGAAAAAAAAACTGTTAAGAGACATCTTCAACATAGAAAGCGAGCGAGCCCTACAGTAGTCGCGTATGATGTGTAACATTTGAAACCTCACCTTATATGAGTAAAAAAAGAAATAAAACCTACTACAAAAGGAATAAGCCATTTAAACATTATGTTCTAAAATCAAATCAAATAGCGCGCGCTTTTGCGACTTCTTGATACATACTTCCGACCCATTTCACGAAATCACTCCCACAAATTGCAGGAAAGTGAGAGGAAAGATGTCACATATCAAAACACAGTTATACCCTATAATACCTTCGTCACATTTTTGAATTTTTGTTCGGTCCATTCTGACTTGACTGGTTTGTTTATGTCTACTATAAAACTTTTGTAGCTCTATGTAAAAATTTTGTTCATCAACTAACGTATTATTTTACAGCTAAGCTCGGTAAATTGATCAATTTACTAAATTTTCGTCCCGTAAGATAATACATTTCATCTCTCGTTTACATTCTTACTAAAGATGATAAATTTACTAGGATATTGATAAACTTACGGAATGTATTATATTCCGATGACATATATAATCGTTTTTAAGGAACAGCATTATTTGTAATTCGGCTAAAGGTAATAAGGACCTAAGGTCATAACGCGTATTTAGGTTTTTTTTTGTAGCCGACGGCCTGGCAACTTTTCGCTAATGCTTAAAGATAATATCTTACGCTTACCGATGCGAAAGGTGGCGTCTTTAAAGTTTAGCTACTATGGAAGTAATATTTCCACTGATGCATATAGGTCGTTGATGCTCTACCAATCCACAGGAGATATGACGCAATCTTTATTATGCGCGTATTTATGTATATAAGTTAATGTCTTATGAACACGTTCCACAGATGAAACAAATTGAATATATGCGAGATAAGCTCAATGAATTTCGCTCAGTAGTTTTGGAAATTATTGTTCAAGCATGTCACACGGCTCTTTATCAAAAAGGTTTCTTATACGACGATCGGAATATACCACCTTTTCAAATAATTAGGGGTAAACCTACTGGTGGAATGTCATATACAGAAAAGGCGAATAAGAGGAAATATTGTGAAAGATTAGCGAGGTGAGCACTATTTACTACACTTTTCTCATACGGAATATATAACGGACTTGTAAACAAGCCTTAAAGTTTGTTATTTCTTTCCACGACCCTCTTCAAAGTTAAGGCACCGACAAAGTAATATCAAGTAAACTAGTTTCTGTGTTTACATATATCCATCATCATCAGCCTAATAATGCCTCCACTACAGGGGCACAAGCCTTTCCTATAGGTGGAATAGGGAGGCTGGACTGTGACGCGACCCACCCTTGCGGATTGGTGGGCGCTAACGACTACAGATGCACCCGGGATCAAAGGCTTAACGTGCCTTCCGAAGCACGGGGGAGCTTGTGATCTTAAGTTTTTGGTCACCCATCCAATGACCTACCATTGGGAAAGTTACTTAACTTTCACGTTCGCCGGCCTAATGCGCTAGCCACCTGCGCCATTAAGGCGGTGTGCCTCATTACAAATATGAACACATATTACTTTTCCTATTTTTCTTATTTAGCTTCATCAAGGTTACGGATTACATGACCAATTATATGCTGTACCGGCTTACGAAGCGGTCTAACGCTATGATGGCTGGAATGTTACGCAAGCATATCGAATTCACTCCTGACAGTGCTCTCCTGTCTGGCACTGAGGTTGACGAAGTACTGGAAGTTGTTCCGCGTGACACCGAAACGTGCAAGGTATTGTCTTAAGAATTATTAGTCATATTAGGTTTTTTTTTGTGAAATGATATTAGTTAGTTTGTTTATTGACTTTCGAAAATAAGTTCAAGCCCGGGTTTAAAATTAAGTAAGTTAGAATAGGATGGATGATAATGATGTCATCTATTATCTAAAGACAAGTTTAAGAACACAGGCGCAGAATGCCATGCTTATTCTCAACACTTAGGCACTACATGTCATTATAAAATTTACATATTTGGTTTCTTGCAGTGGGCTTTATTCCAAGTGGATGCTTATGTTTTACAAAATGGTGAAGTGGAATTAAACCCCAGTCAAAAAGTGATATCCTCATATTTAGAAAAGATCACAAACTATTGGGACGAATACGTACGAACGTTCCATAACTTTCTGAACGAAGAATCTTTGCAAATATTTGTCCAACCCACCATCATGGGCAAGCAAGTGGAATGGTCTGCTGGGGTAACGCCCAATTTATATTTCCTCATGAATCAAGATAAGACGATGTTGGATGATATTGCTTTTATTCCACATTCTGTAAATTTTGCCTACGAATGTGTGTGGACGTTCTTGCAAAGAATGCAAGGTTTCATGGAGAACTTTAAAGAGGCTCACGAAATGGATGTGGATCTCATTAAAGCGGAAAGGGACGTAGCCGAATTTCGAAAGCTTTGCGACAAATTTAACAAACAAATGGAGTCTATCGAAGATGTTGTCAGCTATCAGCCGCTTGGTCTTTTATTCTTGTGTTTGTGTCCTTTCCAAGAGTTGTTCAGACCACAACCCAGAAGATTATTCGATGTTGTTCTAAATGTTACACCGGAGTAAGTAAAATTAATCATAATTTTGCTTTTAAACACGAGAATATTTTGAAAGAATAATATGTAACAAGCAAATGGCTTGCCTGATGGTAAGCCGCCGTCATAGCATATATGCCCTATTGATATAAGGTATCACTTACACCGTTGCCTACCCTGTCCCCATTCGACTTCATCTCTCTTAATGTGTCCTGACGTATAAGTTTGCTATTTGCGCTTGGTGATGAGTAACAATAGAGCCTTACATGTGGCCGTATTTTTAAATAATTTATGTTTACCAGTTTAGCTAAAACGTCCTACACGATTTCAAAGATCTTTTATTAAGTTGATTTGAGTAAAGTTTATTTTCATTCTTTCATCCATAACGCTACTATGAGTAGAACATCTTTTAGCTGTTCAGCTAAAAGGTGTCATAAAGCGTGGTAGATAAATAAAAATTAAGGACGATTCAAAAGAGTTTTTATTAAGCCGACTTGAATAAAGTTTATTTTCATTCAATCATATCAATACAACGAGTAAAACGTCTTTTGGCTGCTTAGCTAAAAGGTGTCATAAACGAAAAAAAAAATGATTAAAAGAAATTAAGGTCGATTCTAAAGAGCTTTAACTAACTCAACTTAAGTAAAGTTTATTTGCAATCACTCATTCATCCCGCTGCTCGTAGCATCGGACACGATTGCATCGCGGAGATCGTCAGCGGTATAGAAAACATAACAGAGGACATAACCAAGGAGCCGGAAAGTGCCGGGGAGTTGGTCGCCTTCAATTTCCTGATGGACGGGCTGGAACTGCGAGTGGTATACCTAGAGGAACGATTGGAGTACTTGCGGGAGTTATACGACTTGATGGGTGAATTCAATATACCCATACCGCCGGATGACATGACTGATTATTTAGGTATGTGCTTGTGATGATGCTTTTTAAACTGTGTTTTAGAGTTAGGGGTAAGTAACTAAGCAATGGTTACTGGGATGGGATTAAGGTATAAAAGATATCACCCAAATAGTATTAGATTTTGTTTCTGCAGTGCTTAAAATTATCAGAAAATGTTTAGCTCTGTACCCTTAGTACGAGTTTTACAATTACGAAAACTATGATAGTTTTCGTGAGCTAAGGGTCCTGATTTTATTGTTTTCGTTTCAATACAAATAAACAGTGTTTAAATTCTATCATTAAATCATTTGCGTCTTCTTAAATTATAATATATTTGGTTAGTTTTTACCAAAATGGACATAGAAACATAATTTACAATTTAGAAATCTATGATAGTTTTCATGAGCTCAAACTCGTACTTAAGGTACTGAGGTGAATGTGATCAGTACAATATCGAATTCGTTACGTTAGCGAGTGCAAAATGTCATTGTCAAATTTTGTATAGAAACTTGAACAGCAACGCTACAACGGACGTAAAGAGAATTAAAAAAAACAGTACATATTTGACGTGTTATGGTTCGTACTAAGGGTACGGTGTCCGCTTAACGTTAGCCGTAAAATCATTTTAGGTCGATATTTTAAGTGTAATAACTAAGTAAGCAATAAATGTCATTTTTATAGGTTTGATTAAAAGACGTCAAATAAATTTAATGTTATTCAAAGTCACATTCTAACTTATTCTTAAATCATCGCAAAGAAAATGGCAGCACTAACATTAATCACACTGTAAACTTAATCCACGTTAATTGAATAAATCTTTGTAATTAGGACTTAGCGTCGCACTTGGTACTCTGAGAACGAACGTAGACGCTCGCTTAGAGACGCGGAGCAAACTGGCGGGCTTGTTCGCCAGTCAGATCGGTAAAGATATAATGGACCTTATCATGGACGTCAATAAGCTAAGGGATGAAGTTATGGTAAGCATTTTTTATTATCCATTAACTGGGAAATTGACCATAATTATTTGCAAAGTAGGAAAGTATTTTTTTACGTTTCAATATAATCATTTTTATATATAACTAGCTGACCCAGCGAACTTCGTACCGCCCTAAAAAAATAGGGGTTGTTCAGCAGACAAAATTGTGAATCTAAACCATTCTCAGATCCCCTTGAACACACACAAAAAATTTCATCAAAATCGGTCCAGTCGTTTAAGAGAAGTTCAGTGACATACACACTCACAGAAGAATTATATATATAAAGATATGACTAGTGTACTGGGTACTTTTATCGTATGACTAGTAGAATGGACTAGCTATGTAGTTAGTTTAATGGATGTTCCATACAAACTTTAATTTTATTTTAATGACAAATTTTAAAGTATGCTCTTATCAAATGTGTCGCTTTAATACTAATGTTTACATGCGCAAGCGTAACAGACATGCAGCGCTACTTTCGAATCTGTAATAGTGCCTAATTCTATTCACGGAATCGAGTTACTCGTAATACGGAAGAAAGCTAATATTTTCTGTCTTCCGGATCGCATTGCTGTCGTGACTTCGAGTCTAGACAACCCAATATTGTGTGACATAATTTTCCATCGTTTTGTAAAAAATAGGGAAGATGCAATATTTTTATTTTTGTTTTCATTTTAAAGAATTCCATGTAGAATAAACCACAGATATATTAAAAATTAAAACATTGTGATTTATCGGAAAAAATGCGATTTTAAATTGACAATTTAAATTTTCGCGCGAAAACGAACCTATGGTTGCGATGACTTCACTCCTGTCTGTCACTGGTCGTAATTGTTCGTTGCTGGCTTTAAATTTCCATACTTTTGCATATTTTTTCGACTTTCGAAATATTTTTTTTGAAAAATTTAAAATGGACTATCCATCAACATCATGTGATCATAACAATACCACTAATATTCTATTTTGTGCCAATCTACTTCAACAAAGTTCCCAAATAAATTGTTTTTGACTGGAACTTCTGACCCAAAACTGAAAAAAAAGTGGTTTCAAGCTGCGAAGAGAAATGACAATTATTCTCCAAAGACCATTATTCGATGCTGAGAAGATCACTTTGACGTAAGTCGGCGCATATACTTGTTATATGCTTAATTAATCTGCTTGTACGTAACCTACCTAATACTTACAAAACCTGTCTATAACATATTTTTAATTTTACAGTTGGAGAATGACGTCGAAAATTAGATAAAGTTTAAAATGTGTGGCACAATCTTCACATTGGCAGGACTGAACCAAGCTTTGCGTTTCATTTAAAATAACTGTAACACGATAACCATCTTTACGTACTTTATGCTCCAGAGAACTCGACCTTTTACTGTACATAATTTTCCATCTCTTTTAATTTGCACATAGCCGATTGCATTATCGCCGTAAGATTTGTAGAAGCCGCTGAATAAAATACGAAGTTTAACATTTACGATTTTTACATACCGTAGTAATTTAGTCCCTTTCATTTCTACACTTAAAAACTCTGCACTTTGGACAAAAAAAGTTATAACCATGTCAACGCTAACTCTTGGTAAATTCTGGAGTCTGCTTTGATAAATGCAACTTTCATTTTTATTAAATGTAAAAAAAACGCAATAAATATTCCCATAAAATAATATTTACTTTAACAACCATAACCTGAAAGAAGATGTCATAACAGGAGTGACGTCACTAAACGCTGATTGGTGTTTTAAAATACGTTCCGTTTCAAGTATTTTTAATTCGTAATAATTGTTAAAAAACAACATTATGTAAAATAAAAACGTTGTAGTGGCATTTCTTTTATATTTTTTTAATATTTTAATCATAAAATTTTCATAAATATTATATATGCATCTTCCCTATTGTCGATAAAGAAAGGCGCCCCACTAACTTTCTTATATCTAACATTGAGACGATAAGAAAAAGTATCTAAGGCAATTTCAACTTTTAATGACTGATTTTATTTTTGTGAAACACATTTTTATCTTAATGTTCCTAATGTTAGCGCGTTCGGCTGCGATCGTTGAAGTTAAGCAACTTTCGCAGTGGTCGGTCATTGGATGGGTGACCAAAAATCTTCTACCTCGCGTTCCTCTTTGCTTCAGAAGGCTCGTTAAGCCGTTGGTCCCGGCTGCATCTGCAGTCGTTAGCACCCGCCAATCCGCACTGGGCCCGCGTGGTGGGTCATAGCCCAATCTCCCTATTCCATCCATAAGGAGGGCCTGTACCCCAGCAGTGGGGACATTAATAGTCTGATGATGATGATGAACTTTGTAGGCACCGTGGTTGTTTGATATAAAATCGGATATGGATAAAGCATTGGAAACCTTGAGTGAGCTGCAAGAGAAACTACAGGCGTGCTCCGCCAGGGACAAGCAAATACGCGAGTGGCAGAAGATATTCAAAATACCTCCAGCTAGATTGGAGACGTTGGACGAAACAATTACCGACGTCAAATTAAGACAACTGCTGTGGAAATCCTCGAAAGAGTGGAATGATTTATTTCAGACATGGTAATCAGATTATACCCATTTAACACTACTTTCACCTTACTCACAAAAATTTTTATAGGCAATATTTTCTTATTAGATTTCTTCTACGCTTTTGTCGTTGTTGATACCAGGGTTATACGGATGCTAAAAAAATTACATTTGCGGGTGTGGTTTTCAGGATATTATTTAGATATTTCACTTTTAAGTTCATTAATAAATTTAAATTGATTTATTTACTATGATGAGAGAAGATGAGTGCTAAGCTTTAAAGAGAAGCTAACAGAGACCATTTAGAACCATTCAGAACGGAAGTAAGAAAACGGGCCCGTGCGTGTGTTAGAAATCGCGGCGAACATTTTGAACACGAAAAATTACTTATTTTTGTAGAAATTTTGTTTTAATTAATTCATCTAAAACATAAAAAAATCTAAACATAATTAAAATATTAAAAATAATATGGTTAGACTTCGTCTAAGACAAGTATGGCTCAAATGTTTCTAAATGGTCTCTGTTAGCATTCATCTTCCAAACACCCTGTATAATATCATTTTAAGTACATGAAACTTGCTCCGTCCACTTTCTTTAGATATCGTTACTTGTTAATATGAATCGGCATCCGTAAAAGTATCAATTGATGCATATGCGGATGAAGATGTCTGAAATAATGTGGATATTCAGCTTTTGCGGATATGAATATCCGTACCCCTTGTCGATATAAATAAGCACTATTTCGATTAAAATAAGCTAAGTTAAAGCTTTACATGGGGTTACTTTTGGGGGTCGGGCTTTGCGGGAGAGGTATGTTTGTTTGCTAACCTTTTGAATTAGAAAATTAAATACGCATTTGTTTACCGATTCTATCGATTTTAAGTATTATTAATATTTGAGTATTTTCTATATTCTGCAGGTATGAAGTGCCATTCAATACTTTAGATATGGACGACATACAGACAACAACTATTAACTATGGAAAGATATTCAATCAATTGGACAAAGGTTTGCCGCCTAACAAGATTGTTCCTAAATGCAAAGAGACAATAGATATTATAAAAGAAAAGGTTAGATATCTATGTTAAATATATTATTATTTTTAAATAAATTAACGCACAAATCAGTGAACATATTCGTTTATGTATATCATACTCCCAAATTCATTATCGTTTATTCAAATTAAGCAGTAACAAGCACTAATGAAAGTCGAAAATCTACTCTATCGGTTCGCAAATCCACGGCAGGAGATCTTGTACTGAGATGAATCGGCAGTGAATCTCAGCAAGTGCGGTTTTTTCCTGTATTATAATTATACTAGCTGCCCTAACAAACTTCGTACCGCCATAAAAAATAAGGGGTTGGTGGTAGATGGGTGAAAATTTAGGGTTGTATGTATATTATTTGTCCTATAATAAAAAATAAATTAAGGGTGGACCTTAACATTACCCTTAACATTTAGGGGCATGAAAAAAAGATATTGTCCGATTCTCAGACCTACTGAATATACATATAACATTTCACGAAAATCGGTCGGCTTTTAGATACGGTTGTTGTTTATTTAATGAGTGATTGATAGCTGTAAACTTTTCTAAAATAAAATAAATAAATAAAATAAAGAGAGGGCAGCAGTGTAGAAATTAATAAGCTAATATTTTTTGTGGATGGTTATAGATACCGGTGATGTCGTATTTACGTAACCCAGCTTTGAAGCCGCGGCACTGGGTCAAGATTGAGGAGATCTTACACACGCGTTTCACGCCCGAAATGGTGGTGACTTTAGGTTTGCTAGAGGAGTTGCATGCCTTCCAACACGCCGAGGAACTGATGGAAGTCGCCGGTCAGGCCAGCTCTGAGGCTGGATTGGAGGCTTTACTGAAAAAGGTACCAATAATGGAATCTACTAGCAACTTGGTTTGAGTCAACTTAAGTTTTTTAGAGAATCCTGAGTCAAGATTGAAGAAATCTTCTATACGCGATATGTAACCGAGGTTTCATACAAAGAAGAAAAATTCCTTCATATAAACTAGTTGCGTACAAGGAATAATAATTCCTTCATCGAAACCAGTTACGAAACTACGGTTTCGTAAGGGATAATAACAAACTTTCACATATTTACGAATATTTTAAACTTCGTAAGCTACTTTATAATATTAGTTGGAGTTTAACTGCTTTTCAATTTAAGTGTACAGCGTCAGACGTATTTACCTTAATTCATGAAAGTAGCGGTGGGCGTTTAAACGAAAAGCGCTTAAATAAGCGCGCTTAAAATATTAAGCTTGTAAGCACGCTTTTAAGTATAAGCGTTATAAGCTTTTCACTTAAAAAGTGTGAGTAAGCTTTTCACTTAAAAAAGTGCAAGTATATTTTTTACTTAAAAAGTGCAAATCCCGCCATCTATGTCTTGAAACCAGGAAACTACATACTTCGATCCTTCTCGTCCACTACAGTATCGAAAAATGGGTACGCGGAATTCCTTGGAACTAAATATTTCACAATATCACATACATAGAACGCGCGACTACAGCGCCGCGTCGGCGTGCCATCTTTCGTGAGCCGGTTAATACAGCATGCGAATTATTATAATGCGACGTAAAAAAATGCACTTTTTTAAAATTTGGTCGGATAACCAACGCCTTTTTCGTTCAAAGCGTTTAATTAAACGAAGTCGAAAAGCAGTACGCTTGTCACTGTGGCGGGGTAAGAGAGCGTGGGTGTTGTACGGTGTGTTTGCATGCTTGCTAGTGTTAATGCGTTTCGTGTATTGGTTTAATGTGCATATAAAATAGTTAAAAGTATGTATATAAAATCAATGAACTTTTAAGTACGCCTGGATCACGAGTATATTAACTCCAGATAGTCCTAAGCTTGTAAAGTACGAAGGAAAGTTCATTGACTATTATAAAAATAAAATTTATTATAAAATCTAAATTCAATTGAAAATCTTTCGTTTTTAATGCCAATCAATTCATTAGGTTTAAAAAAACTTTTTAATAAAAATTTCATTAATAAGAAGAAAAAATGCAATAAAACAATTAAACACATTAAAAACGACAATAAACTTTTCACGCTTTTTAAACGATAAACATAAACGAAAACACAACACAACGTCGCGCTTTTTACGCATGCTTTTAAACGTTTAAGCCAATAAGCGTTTAAACTCGAGATGTTTACGTACTACTCAGGAGCATTTGACTTTAGTCAATATCTCATTTGACATTCTTTTCATTCGACCAGGTGGAAGAGTATGGGCCGCGTTAGAGTTCCCAGTGTTATTGCACAAGGACGCTCGAGATGTTTACGTACTACTCAGGAGCATTTGACTTTAGTCATTCTCTCATTTGACATTCTTTTCATTCGACCAGGTGGAAGAGTATGAGCCGCGTTAGAGTTCCCAGTGTTATTGCACAAAGACACTCGAGATGTTTACGTACTCGGGGGCTTGTGACTGTTTAGTCATTCTTTCATTTGACATTCTTTTCATTTGACCAGGTGGAAGAGATGTGGGCCGCGTTAGAGTTCCCAGTGTTATTGCACAAGGATGCACGAGATGTTTACGTACTACTCAGGAGCATTTGACTTTAGTCATTCTCTCATTTGACATTCTTTTCATTCGACCAGGTGGAAGAGTATGGGCCGCGTTAGAGTTCCCAGTGTTATTGCACAAGAACGCTCGAGAAACTACTCTGGAGCCTTTGACTTTAGTCATTCTCTCATTTGACATTCTTTTCATTCGACCAGGTGGAAGAGTATGGGCCGCGTTAAAGTTCCCAGTGTTATTGCACAAGAACGTTCGGGATGTTTACGTACTACTCTGGAGCCTTTGACTTTAGCCATTCTCTCATTTGACATTCTTTTCATTCGACCAGGTGGAAGAGTATGGGCCGCGTTAGAGTTCCCAGTATTATTGCACAAGGACACTCGAGATGTTTACGTACACGGGGGCTTATGACTGTGAAGTCATTCCCACATTTGACATTATTTTCATTTGACCAGGTGGAAGAGATGTGGGCCGCGTTAGAGTTCCCAGTATTATTGCACAAGGACGCCCGCGATGTTTACGTACTCGGGGGTCTTGAGGAGATCCAAGCGGCGTTGGATGAAAGCAATATCCACATCAGCACCATACTCAGCTCCAGAAGCTGCGGGCCCATCAAGAGCAGGGTCGAAGAGTGGTACAAGAATCTGGACTTGTTCTCTAAAACATTGGCAAGTGATAGATTTTTGTTAAATTTGTGTAATCCATTTGGACTTACAAAACATTCTCTATAACCCTGTGAGGGGAAAACCGATAAAATTGTTGGCTTTAGTCACTTTCATTCTGAGGTAGCGATATATCCTTTATGTTGTTGTAGTTTGTAACATAAGACGCACTTCATACTAAAATATATATATATATATACTAATATATAAAATACAGGGCATCCCACGGCAACCGCACACGGAGGGAAAGTATATTAAATATTGAAGATAGGACATTTTACAGAAAGAAGACATCATTTAATTTTTAATAATAACTAGAACTGCATTCACATTTTTTTAAATCGCCTGCTACAACTGGGAATCAAACCTGGAAATTTCGAAAAAAAGAAACAACAAATTTTATGATAACCATCAAAAGGGTTAATTATATGGATTATTTAATGCTAAATAACATAGCATTTTAAATGAATACAATGTCTTATTATGTTACAAACATAATAAAGTGATATACAAACTAGTACGTATGCATTTCATTTTGAACGCACTGTTACAATGTGATTGATTGAAATTTATAAAAATAATAATTCCAAAATGGAACGCAAATTTTCAAGCGTCTGTTTTGTTTTTTATGAGTTTCATTTTCGTTTATTTGTATTTTTTTTTGTTAATTTACTTACCATGGCGTATCAAAATAAAATGGATTTAATGGAAGCTTACTTTATGAAGCACAAAGACATAATAGCTTTGCAGTGGTACCGCGAAAGATATCCTGATAGAGACGTAACTTCTCGATATGTGTTTAAAATGTTAGTGGACACTTTAAGAAAGGGACGTTTTGATATGCGCTTACAGAAACCACAGCAGCGGATGATAAACGTCAACGATGTTGAAATCAACAATTTGACTAACTTTGAGGCGTATCCGATTTTATATAAGTTTGTGTTAAATAATTTTAAATAAAATGTTAAATTTAATTACTTTTCTTTCATTTAAAATGCTATGTTATTTAGCAAAAAATTATCCTTATGATTAACCCTTTCGATTGCTATCATAAAATACGTCGTAGTTTTTTTTTTCGAAATATCACGAGTTTGATTCCCAATTGATGCAGGCGATTTTAAAAAAAACTTTGAATACAGTTCTAGTTATTATTAAAATTAAAATTATGTCTTCTTTCAGTAAAATATCCTATCTTCAATATTTAATGTACTTTCCCTCTGTGTGAGGTAGTCGTGGGACGCTCTGTATATACAGTCGTGGTCAACTAATTAGGGACAATCTCTAGTTAAGCCAAATTGTGTTTATTTTTAATTCTTTTTCAACGAGTTTTAAAATATTCCATATCTTTTATATGTAAGTATAATTAGTCATTGATGTGCCCGATTATACAAACAATAACAACTTCTTAAACATTAAACCTCTTTACAGTATAGCTGATAGATTATCATAGTGCTATTTGTTCAAATAATGCTGGCTGGCCATTTAATTAGGGACAATGAGAAAAATGGGCAAAAATAAAAGTTGCGATCCAACACTACGAAAAATTATCATGAAGTTTGTTGTCGAGCATGGTTGGCCATACCGAAGGATAGCAGAACATTTAAATTGTTCAAAAACTATGGTATACAATGCAGTGCAACATGTCAGACGCAATAACACAGCTTTAAATGTGCCCAGAACGAAAAGATCAAGAAAAACAACTCCGCCAGAAGATAGAATGATAACCAGGTTAGCTAAGAAAGATCCGTTTCTAGGCTCTATTTTAATTAAACACGAAGTGTTTGGGGCAGACGAAAGAGCTGGTGTCTCAGGGAGGACCGTTCGACGACCTCTGGTAGAAGCAGGGTTGTTCGGAAGAGTGGCTCGCAAAGTACCGTTGTTAAAGAAAGAACATAGAAATGCTCGTTTGGCGTTTGCGCGTAAATATGGACATTGGACCTACGCCCAATGGCAACATATATTATTCACTGACGAGACCAAGGTTAATTTGATTTCTTCAGATGGAAGGCAATACGTACGGCGTCCAGTAAAAGCGGAAATGAATCCAAGATTCACAAAAAAGCAGGTGAAACATGGCGGTGGAAACATTAAAATGTGGGTTTTTTTTTTCATTATTTTTTTATTCGATTATTTACAATATGTCTTTTTAATTATGTTATTTTTAATCAAATTTCAACATGTTTAATAATATACTGTCCGTGCTCGAGGCTGCTATTTGATACAGCCAGGGGCACGGGCAGAAGTCTGAAAGAGGAAGCATAGAAGGATAGTAAAGATAAAAGTAGGTATACAAGAAAATAGGGAGGTCAAAAACAAAGTAAAGAAAAGTTGAATCACATTAGTGGCGTTAAAGACTACTCGTTTGCTTCAAGTTGGCCGTCGTTGGCCAATCACAGGCACATCAACTGGTACCATCGTCCAATAAGGTCGACTAATAGGGACTGTCTAAGGCGCGGTATTCTGAAGCTGGGAGGGTGGAAGCAGCCAATTCGAAGCGAACGCGTAGTGCTTTGGTTATCAAAAGTATGCGTTATTAATAGAATACAGGGTTCACTCAATACATTCAAGCAAACTCATGTACACATACAGAGAGAGATACACACACACACGCAATCATACTCAAATGAGTCCTAAGGTAATTATTATATACACTTTTAAACTATTATATAATATAAAGTAATAATAACATTCACAGAAAAAAAAACTAAGAGCGTGCGCTGCGTTAAGCGGGACACAGAGCGGCCACCCGCTCGGCGCGCTTGCTTCATGCCATTTCATAGAGCAGCACCAGCGCTCCGAGAAATGACACAAAAAAAAAACTGCACGGCGAGCGGACTCGCGCCCGACCGACGTCCCGCCTAAGGCAGCGCAGGCTTTAACAGTGCAATATTGTAATGTACATTATATTGTGATGCTAAATGCATAATTAAACTTGTAAGTATCTATCTTAGTGGGTAAAAGTCAAGACACACTAAAGGACGGTGGGGGAACAAAAAAAAATAGGCCCCGATTTAAGTACATATCTGTGTTGGATCGCATCTCCGGCGGCCGCGGAAAGGACGCCTTTGAACAGGCCTCGTTAGAAGCCTTAGCAAAAATTCTAATGTTGCTTCACTAACTCTGAGTATGTCTAATTTTCTGGAGCTGTGAGGAAAGTTCAGGGTAACTTAGACCAACATCAATACAAGGCAAAATTGGAGGAAACGATGCTTCCCTATGCTGAGGAGCATCTCCATATTATATGGACGTTTCAGCATGATAACGACCCGAAACATACCGCTCGTTCAGTCAAGTCGTTTCTTACCAGTCAGTCAGTATCGGTGCTAGATTGGCCAGCAAATAACCCGGACCTTAACCCAATCGAGCACCTTTGGCACGAAATCAAGAAAAAAGTTGCCACTTATCGTACCACAACTTTAGATGAACTTAATGAAGCTTTTTGTGTGGCATGGGCAAACATTCCTGTCGAAATATGCCAGAATCTGATAATGTCTATGCCACATCGTTGTCAAGCGGTAATTACTAACAAAGGTTTTGCTACTGGGTACTGATTTTACACGTAATAAAATGGAGCTGTTAAAGATATTATAATACTGCAGATTATTAGTTTTGTTTAACTCTATTTTTCATTATAGTTTACTGTCCTTAATTAAATGTCCAGCTACAGAATTATACCTTAAAATTGAATACATGTTCAACCTTTGATATTAAATACTTTTTTCTATTTATTTATTCTTTTATTTACAGCCATTTATAGCATAATAATCGGACCAAATTATGCAAATAATAGGTGCTGAGAAATGAATAGGGTTTTATATTTATATGTACATAACCGGTTATTGCTCTTCACTATTTTGAAAGTCCCTAATTAGTTGACCACGACTGTATAGGGTGAAATTGAATGTTTTAATGAAACTTCGTGAGATTGTTGGGTTACGTGTATAGAGTATGCCTGATTTTTTCGGATTTTTTTGGAGTATTTTTTTTCATGTATTAATTTTTAATTTGTGTATTTTTATGTCCTTTTCTCCTTTTGAGTAGTTATTCATTTTAAACAAACATACATATCCAGTGAAAAACAACTAATAAATAAGCATTTCAAAAAACGGAAAAACAGCGCGGGTCTACGACCGACCGCGCCCGTCAGCCGTTGAGTGAGTAGATACACAGAGCTCAGCTGACTCCTTTAATTCCACACAATACAATAAAATCGTCTTAGATGCCTTTATTGAAATAATAAGCACAAATGTCATCTTCTCTTAAGCAGAGAAAAACTTAAAAAGTTAATAATAATTTTGTCATGATTGGAAATAGGCAAATGCTAAACAAAAAGAAATACTTATTGCAGTTCAATACTTGGGTCAGAATGAAATTTACAACCAGGTATTCAAAAGTACTTACGAAACCGATATACCTATTATTATTTTTCACTATAACTTCCCGTATACACTTTGTAAACAGAATCTATCACCAAACCTATTTTCGTAAAGCCTTGTGGCTCTGCTAAATATTCCGTGACACTACAATAACAACATACCATATCCAACTTCTTATATTGAGGCCACAGAACAAGAACTAATCAAGGCATTATCTGCAAATCTTGTCTTGTCACAAATTTAAAAGATACGCACGCGCGGTGGAAAGATTTGAGTCTGCGCTCGCTCACTGCGCTTTGCCATTGCACCGCGCATAGGTAGGTAGGTACTCAATGGCGGTAGCGGTCATTGCTCCCGGCCGCCCGTCTTCTGTTTTTACGTTTTTTTAGTAGTGCTTATTAGTTGTTTTTGCTTACTCTGTATGCGTTTTTAAAAAGAATAATTATTTAGTACCCAAAAGGAGGAAAGGACTTAAAGTATAACAAGAAAAAAAACAAAATTTTATTTTAAATAATTATTAAAAATCCGAAAAAATTCAGAGATACTCTATATACGTAACCCAACACTCCCACGAAGTTTCATTAAAACATTCAATTTCACCCTATATACTAAATATACTAAATAAAAAAATTAAACAACCAGGGTAACACAATTTGGTTTTTCTTAATGTTGAACTGTGTTTGGGTGAAAACTTATTTATTTGACACAACAGAGCACATTATATTAGAGATTAAACTATTGTGTATGTATAATTTTAATATTTTACTCATTTCATTGCAGGAAGAATGGTATGCTTGCCAACAAACATGGATGTACTTGGAAGTTATATTTTCGGCTCCCGACATTCAGAGGCAACTGCCGAATGAGACTAGGCTCTTCACTATTGTTGATAAATCATGGAAGGATATTATGCGTAAATTAGCAAAGGTTAATTAGTTTAATATTGTATTGTTATTTTTTTTAACCAATTTGTGTAGAAGTCCTTAACTAGCAATAATATTTTTTTTGGACTATTCCAAAGTAAAGGAGATTGCTCAAATTGGCCCAAATGCACAAAAAATATTGACATACACGGTAATTCTTGGCGTAATTTATAATGTAATGTACAGTCATCAGATTTCAACGGACACCTTTGTATAATATATTTTCTTTAAAAAGGACTTTTATTTTTACCGGTTTGGAACACATACGAATCATTTTTAATGGTTATGGGTGTAGTAACATTCAGCCAAAGACTGATCGAAGTTGTTTATATAGCATAAAAATAAAATATATTTTGTAAAGATCGATAAAATAAATCATTTTTTTTATTACACTATGGTATTAATATCCACAACTATATTATCATTTTCACTAGATGCAAATGTGCTCAGACAATTATTATAGATGGTAGGCGACATCATAAAGTCTATTGCCATACATTTTTCGCCAAACACCTCCATAAACACATTATAATCTGTATATATGTTAGACTTTAAGGTATCTATCTATGGGTCTACGTTCCCTGACTATAAATTAATAAATAAATAAAATTATAAGGTATGTACAAAATACAATAAAAATCTAAAATACGGTTATCTTAAAAACATAACAAAAATAATGAAGCTACTGAATATATGGCTATAGAACCTAAATCTCTTAGCTTTCTTTGGTTAACGAGAGTTTAAAAATTCTCTCTAATCTGTGGCTCATTCACAATCATCACACAGTTTCTGCCACAGAGTACCTTGTTATAACCGGAAATGACACCTGATTTTAAAAGTTACTTTTATGCATTAACTTTGAAAACAGGCAACTATCTGTTAATCTACATGCTCTATATACCTGAATCTAATCCATAATTTAGGTACTTGCTTGATTTCCCTAGTTTACTATATAACTTATTTGTTTTTTATTATTTTAATATGTTCAGTGTATATGGTTTATAGAAGTTCTCAGGGGTGTCCGTCAATAATATTCGTTTCTACAGTAATTTATATATAATTTCGAATCTAGGAAACAATTTTTCATGATTATTGGTCTTTAGGCCAAACATGTATGGAAGCTGAGCAATCTCCTTTATATCTAAAGTCATTTAACCTTACACTAGTTATTTAAAATGTTTCCTGTAGATTCTGTACTGAAATATAAGAAATATAATGTATATATGTTGCGATACAGGTACCGTTGGCTATGCCTGCTGCCACACAGCCGAAGTTATATGAAGAGTTTGTCCGCAACAATGAAATGTTAGATCAAATTATGAAGTGTCTCGAGGCTTATCTGGAGACGAAGCGTGTAGCGTTCCCGAGATTCTTCTTTTTGTCTAATGATGAATTACTGGAGATTTTGGCTCAGGTAGAAAACTTAAAATTCATTTTAGCATAATTAGTATTAATTCTATAATATCCTATCTTCACGCCGCTACCAGGGTAAAAAGAAGTCCGCCAATCTCTTACACATCTTTCGTTTCATTCACATTCATTACACTTTAAATAATATTTAAAATAATAAATTAGAAATCCACTTTAATGTTTTAAGAATAATGTTATTTCCTATGGACCAGATCCTAACTAAGGATGCCAGGTGCGTTTACCATTGTGCCAAAATATATACACGCCTTTCAGACCACAGCACCAAGGAACTTGAGAGTTGACGTCTATAACCGCAAATAAAAATCATCATTATATATGAGGAGCAGGCGAACAAAACGGTCTAATTACATCAAATTAAATTTTACAGGAGCAGTAAAAAACTGAACGATATACCTACAGTGAGCTTTTGGCGTGATTTTTAATTTAGTAATTTGAACACTATTTTAGACGCTTTTTATTGACATGAGTTGAAATTCAAATTCAGCTGGCCTAAAACTTCCGGACTGTAAAAAAAGGAGTATATGGTCAAAACCATATGCGTAATTATACCGTTTTGTTCACCAGCTCCCCATATTAGACTTTACAGCGACCGCATTGTCTCGTAGACATTGGAAGCAAAACATAAAATGTCGTTAGCATGAATGATAATACATTTTAAAAAAATATTGTAGACTCGCAATCCACACGCAGTACAACCTCATCTGAGGAAGTGTTTCGACGCGATAGCCAAACTGGAGTTCGGTGTGAAACTGCCAGAGAGTGAAATGGAGATAACGGAAGACGGGACTTTGGTCGAAAAGGAGATGTCGTTCAACACTAGGGACATGCTGCAGGCTAAACTAGCGAAGACGGCGAAACCGGAAGACCTCACCACAGATATTATAGCGATGTTGTCGCCGGAAGGAGAACGGATTAACTTGGGGAAAGTTAGTATGATAATAACATTTAAATTAGTCATCCGTGGAGGAGCTCGAATGGTAATCGCGTTCAGCTGCGATCGTTAAACTTTCGCAGTGGTCGCTATTGGTCCAGGCTTCATCTGCAGTCGTTAGCACCCACCAATCCTCACTGGGCTCGTCGTGGCACTGGTGAGTCATGGCCTAATCTCCCTATTCCATCCAGAGCGAAGGCCTGTGCTTCAGCAGTAGTAGAGTGATGATGATGATGAAGTCATCCATACTTACAAGTAAAAAAAATGTCTATATTATATCCAATTTACCACTAACTCTGCGTGAATACAACCCCGAAAAAAGAATACTTTAGTCTAAACTGAATGAAACAAAGATGGATCACTAGAGTCACTATATAAAACTGTAACGACATTAATATTGGCGATCTTTGAAATATCTCATATTGCCCATTATTACTATTATATATAGAGAAGCTCGATGGCGCAAGTGGTTAGCGCGTTCGGCTGCGATCGTTGAAGTTAAGCAACTTTCGCAGTGGTCGGTCATTGGATGGGTGACCAAACATTTACTATCTCGAGCCCCTCCGTGCTTCGGAAGGCACGTTAAGCCGTTGGTCCCGGCTGCATCTGCAGTCGTTAGCACCCACCAATCCGCACTGATCCCGCGTGGTGGGTCATGGCCCAATCTCCCTATCCCATCCATAGGGAAGGCCTGTGCCCCAGTAGTGGGGACATTAATAGGCTGATGATGATGATGATGACTATTATACGTTTTTAGGGACTGAAAGCTCGAGGGAATGTTGAAGATTGGCTAGGCAAAGTTGAGGAAGCAATGTTCGCTTCGGTCAAGCGTTGCATGAAACATGCCCTCAAAGACTATTTGTCACGACCACGTGTTGATTGGGTTCAACTACATGCAAATCAGGTGATTATTTTATGTTATAAATATTTCATTCTAGCACTTCACTATTCATATTTTTCAATTTGAAAGCAGTATATCCTGATTCTGATCATCATCGTCATGGCTTTTTAGGTCTACTCTGTCACCTTTATATTTTACTGTAAGCTCTATTTATTGCAACAGAACGTTACATTAATCGTCTTTTTTAAATAATAACCGTGTGCACTTATTATTTGATAATTTCATGTCAACAGAACGTTATATTAATCGTCTTTTATGAAATAATTACCGTGTGCACTTATGATTTGATAATTTCATGTAACATTTCAAATATTGTAACAATAGTATTTCTGCAACACAGATCGTGTTATCAGTTTCACAAATAATGTGGGCTAAGGGAGTTCACGAGATATTTAGCTTAGAGATACCCCTTCGTATCGACACTGGCCTTTTGAGCTACGAGAAGAAATGTATAGCGGACTTGAATGACTTAGCGGCGCTCACACGAAAAGACTTGTCTTCGCTATTTAGGAAGGTATTATGCGCGTTGATCACTGTGGATGTGCACGCTAGAGATACAATTCAACATATGGTGGAAAAACATGTTCAGAGAGCGTGAGTATTTAAGAGTCTTATTATACGCAGGCACAAGCACGAATTATGACAGCTCCGTAATCTTGTCGTCATCATCAAATTTTGTATGGAAGAAAAGGGGCCAGTTTGTTCTTACGTCCGGTAGGGGCGCTGCTTAGTTTTCATAGAAACTTTGACGATGCGATACAATTACGGAGCTGCAAAATTCGAGCTTGAACCTCAGAACTATCTGCCCGTTACGTTAGTTTTGTTAAGAATCCTACAGTACCCTAATGAATCCATGTATTTAACTACATGTGTGCCAACTTTCATCGATATCATTTCAACCGTTTTTGCATAAGAACTTTCACATTTATAATATTAGTAGGATAATGTGATTTGCCCTAATTTGAAGGTTCGAACATTAAAAGAGTTTTACTGCGCACTTCCTTCATTTGTTAGTGTATTTCTGACATAGGGGAAATGTAATGCCACAAAAATATTTAGAAACAAATGTTAAGATGCAATATGCTTTATAAAAAAACCTGTCGGATATCGAAAATAAACCTTGAAATTAAGCAGTTACTTATGCGTATTGTTGTATTCTAAAAGTATCCTAAATATGACATTAATTGAGGCCATGAGAACCATAGTGGCCTAACTCATTTTTAATCATAATGGCCTATCTTACTTAGGCCAGTATGGCACCTAAAATTTAGATCACAGACTAAAAACCGTAACAGTAATTATGCTGCCATCTAGTGAATATTCGTTGTATCACTTTTAGATCACTCTCATCAAAATGATCAATTTGAACTGGAAAATATCATAAACTCAATATTGTAAAAAATTAGTTAGGCCACTATGATTCTCATCCTCCTCCTCAATTTCGATTCACAGAAATGACTTCGAATGGCTTAAAATGATCCGGTATTATTGGGAGGAAGATATTGACAATTGCGTGGCACGCATGTCCAGTGCGATGTACATCTACGGCCATGAGTATTTGGGCGCCGGCGGTACGTTTTATATTGGCTGTATATTTAAATGGCAGTGATGATTCATTTTACATACAAAAAAATGCGAGTTAAATCTCCAAACAAAAAATACCTAAAATGTATTTACAAAATGTTTTTCCTTTAATATTAAAAAAATATTAAGAATAGGATAATTTGACGACCTCCGTGGCCGAGTGGTTTGTACGCCGGGTTTGAAGGTGTCGCTTACTCGAGAAGTCCCGGGTTCGAATCCCGGTGGGGGCAGATGTTGTGTGACGCATATATTTTTACAAACTAACGCATACCTTTTTACACAATAAATTAATGTACAACTAGCAAACCAGTGAACCAAATGTTCACCAAAACCTGATTTCTCGAAAACCGGAAGTGCATCGTTACTCAAATCCGGTTTGTAGTCTTATCAGACTATTCTTAACTTATAACTTAAATATTCTCTTTATCTATCTCTTACGGTTTGGCCGCTGAAACAGCACCACAGACGGACGGACGGACTTGTCTAATAGATAAGAGATACAAAAATTTTGCATTGCAATTTGCAAACATTGGCGATGTGCAGATAACAGTCAGTTTATACTATACGGACTTTAAGTTGATATTGGTGCCAATTCTGGCGTCATTCTCTAAACTTAAAACTAAATTTAACATCAGTCTCTCCTTTTCATTTTGTATAGAGAATAACAAGGATATACTGCTGTCAAATTTAAGTTTAGGTTTAGAGAATCACGCCGGAATCGACACCATTATGTTATTCTTGAGTATATTGATGCAACCATATTATTATTTGACTTAAACAGTCTCCTGTGGAACGATTTCTTTAATCTCTTTAACAATGCATATACAGCGTTGGTCATATAATTAGAAGCACTTCTTATGAATAAAGAAAGTATAACTTCAACGTATAAATGTTCGTAAAAAATATACACATTCAATAATTAGTAATCATGCAATAATATAGCCAATCAAATAAAAAACTCATTAAATGCATAAAATATAAAACATATCTTACTTCTTTTAACTACAAAATGAGTCTTACACATGTAGGAGTTTATTTACTGTTAATGGCCGCTTAAACGCCTAATTAAAAACATTAAAAAAAATTAATAGTTTAAAGAAAACTAAAAAACCGCTTTTATTTACTGCACTTAAAAGTCAAAAATAAACAAAATATACTCTCTGTTTACTTCATAAGGGCCTTAGAGTTATCCGTGTTTATAGTTTATTTTAATTTTGCTTTTTCAGTTATATATGTATTTATATAACTGAAAAAGCGTGGGCACTATTCATTGCAATATTTATCAAATCAATTAATAACGTGATTCATAATGATTAACAATTCAGTTATAAAATTTTATAAGGAAGCAACACCGAGAGAAGCAATTATTATTCGCTAAAAATATGTTAATTGGACGGTACGAGAATGGAAAAAAGTGTTATTTTCAGATGAAACACTAAAATATTGTAAATTCCGATGGAAAGCGCTATGTTAGATGTCCTGTAAACAATGCTTTTATTTATAAATACACAAGGAGCATAGTCAAGCACGGTGGCGGTAACGTAAAAGTTTGGGGGTGTGTTTCCGGATGTGGAGTTGGACCCGTTCGGTAGATTGAAGGTACAATGGATGAATGGCAATACAAAAATATCTTAAAGCATACAGTGATTCCCTACTCGGACGATGATTTGCCTGAAACCTTGATCTTTCAGCATGACAATGGTCTTAAACATACGGCCAATAGCGTCAAATATTTCCTTAGCGAACAGTGTGTATCCGTTTTAGACTGGCCAGCAAATATTTCGGATTTAAATCAACACAAAATATATATAAAATACAAAGCTCCGATATATTAGTAAAAACAAAGTCTCAAACAAACGTAACACCAGTCGAAACAAACTATATGAAGCATTTGTTGAAGCATGGAATTCAATCCTCCTAGAAAAATGTATGAAATTGATTAAATCAATGCCATGCCGTTGCAGTGCTGTTATCTGAAATAAGGGATGCGGCACTAAATATTAATTATAACTATTGGTAGGCTGTGGATAATAGCTATTTCGTAAATAACAATACTACATTACTAATACTTAAAAAAATATTGTTTCTTATACTTTTTGTTGTTGTTTCTAATTTTTGTCCATTAATGTTCATACCTTAAAACTGACTGTCCGTAATGTAATATTGAAAGTACACTTGTATTATGTTTTTTTTTCTAATAAATGATAAATCGTGTAACATATTGTTGTCCTATTTATTGTTTAAGTCTAATTATACGACCACTACTGTATATATCAGTTACTTGTTCCCAGCGAATATACCAGTCGCACTACACCGCCACGGTAGACCAAGTATTGTTCTCAAGGTACAACTTGTACTGTACACGAAGAGTATTAAAAACATTCTTAGTATAATTTTCCCATAATTGGTGGATTAACATCTTTACTTGTTGAATATGTATTTCTATATAAATATACTTATATGTTATGTACAGTATATGTACATAAATCAAGCCTACAGTGCTTACTTTGGGACTAGGCTAATTAGTGTGAGTGTTGGAAATAATTATTTTAATTATTATATATATTGGAATCTGTCTTGCCATCACAACTTGGCCATAATCAATTGTATTGAGATTCTTTCTAATGTCATACGAAAGTGTAAAATATATCGTCACGCTCACAATGAAATCGCTCCAAAACTAGATATGCCCATACACATACTCAATAGACCGTTCATTTCGCCAGGCTTCCAGCACCCTTAGCACTAATCAATATCGAAGACAAAACTTATCATTTGACTCGTATCGAGACCAAATTCAAGTATTCGATATTGATATTGGTTCATGCTAAGGGTACTGGTAATAACTGTCGCCCTCATTTTCCACAGGCGTGCTAGTAATAACTCCCCTTACGGATCGCTGCTACCTTTGTCTGATGGGGGCTCTACAGTTAGACTTGGGCGGAGCACCCGCAGGCCCCGCCGGCACCGGCAAGACTGAGACCACCAAGGACTTGGCCAAATCTCTCGCCATACAGTGCGTCGTGTTCAACTGCTCTGAAGGTTGGTAAATAGCTTTGTTGCCTGTGTCTGATGGGGGTGCTACTACTGTTAATAATTAGGGCTCCAGCAAGACTGTGACCACTAAGGACTTGGCCAAGTCTCTCACCATACAGTGCGTCGTGTTAACAGTTCTGAATGTTGGACTTATGTAATTGCATACAGAGTTTTGGTATCTGTATCAGTTTTCCAAATAAACACTTTCGTCAGTGTAGGCGCTAACACTAAGTACTGAGTGAAGTGCTAAATATCTTTTACAAAACCACTAAGGGCCACTTGCGCAGTCCAGAGTTAACTCATTAAAGTCCATGTTTAATACATACCCTAGTTTAAATAAATAGTTCGTATGCAGTACCCAGAGTTATGAGTATACTAGCTGTGCCCCGCGGTGTTACCCGCGGTTTATTAGGGATATTTTTCTGCAGTATAACGTAGCCTATGTGTTAATCCAGGGTGTCAGCTAACTCCATATCAAATTTTATTAAAATCGCTCCAGCCGTTTTAACGTGAAGAAGTAACAAACATACACACTCACATACTCACAAACTTTCGCCTTTATAATATTAGTGTGAAGTGTGATTAGTGTGATTTTGTGTTTATTTAACTTTAACTTTTTATTTCCGTGCAAGTTGCCCTAAATATTTTACGAAAAAGAGGTCAGTATATAAACATTACAGTAGTTGATATTTTTTAGATAAGAAAAATCCAGATCTTCCGAGGACTATTCATGAAATTTGTATGTTGCATCTCAGGTCTGGACTACAAAATGATGGGACGTTTCTTCTCGGGCTTGGCCACTTCGGGTGCGTGGTGTTGCTTCGACGAGTTTAACCGAATCGACATTGAAGTGCTCTCCGTCATAGCACAGCAACTTATCACAATACGGAACGCTAAAGTAGCAAAGCAATCGAGGTAAGTATTGTGTTTCATTTCATACAAGTCATATAATAATAGTCATAGAAATTTGGATTGATACCATTACGACACCCTTAGAAGCTTAAAAACCTGTCATGTTTATTTTGTCTCATTATTCAGAGACACAAAGCACCATTTCTATCCCGCAAATTTGACGTTCTGTTTATAGAAACAGAATGTCAATGTCTATTGAAATGATGCTTTGTTCTTAGTCGACTCTTTGCTTGGACGCGTTGATTACGTTCTTATAAATTACATATAACATCAATAAACTAAAGAAAAAATCATTGCCTACACAGGTTAAAGGATAAAATACTTTTAATGAAGTTGTATTATGCATCCAAAATTTGCTTCATGCTAATAGCCTTTTATATCATTTAGGTTCATGTTCGAAGGTCGTGAGATAAAGCTAGTCCGCACTTGTGCCGCGTTCATTACTATGAACCCGGGCTATGCGGGCAGGACGGAGCTGCCAGACAACTTGAAGGCACTTTTCAGGCCTATATCCATGATGGTGCCGGACTATGGTGAGTGTTAATAGTTGTCTTAAATAAGCAAAAACTATTGTTCGAGCCTTGCCACAAACCTTGATCGAGTTGGTTTTCTTTCTGGTAAAATTTTCTTTAGGTTTATAGATCGAGCAGGTTAATGCTTAACATAATAAATACTTTGACTCGAGTTATTTAAGCCTTACGGGATTTAAAAGTTTTCAATCGGCACCATCAATAAATAATGTTCTATTGTAACTCTCACAAAATTTCTATTACTATTCAAATTGAACAGTTTATGCTTTTAAATAACTCATAAGATTTATAATAACTTCACTAAAGCTCTCATCGCGGAAGTGATCCTGTACTCTGAAGGGTTCGAGTCGTCGAAAGGTCTCGCTAAGAAGATGGTTCAAATGTACAAACTATCTAGCGAACAGCTCTCGAAACAAGATCATTACGATTTCGGCATGAGGGCCGTCAAGAGCGTGCTGGTATTGTCGAATATTATTTTAACGATGCACTTTACACATATAAATATTATAGCCCTTGTAGGATGCCACCGTATTAAAGCTGCTAGACCGTTTTTTTTTATTATTATTGCTTCATTGTTCGTGGCTATATAAATATCATTTCCATAGCCACAAACTTAAAACGAAACCGTCTTACTTTATTGTTCATTAAAAATGTAGTTCAAGCGCAATCCAAAGAACTAAGCACGCATAATTTTAGTTGTATCAACATTTTGATATATCTTAGTTTTTCTTTTTAATCGTATCATCATTATTATCAACAGCCTATCTTAGTCCACTGCTGGACATAGCCCTCTCCAATTGCACGCCACTGAGATATTATCCTAATCTGTATACAAACATATAATTTAAGTAGGTAAAGATAGCTTGAAACTTGCACTGTCTCATAGATAATTTCAACTAAAAACGTGGAACTCTACTCACTAAGTTTTAGGGCTCTTTCAATTTATGCGTTTCTTGACGGCCTGCTGCGATGCCGAACGTTTTGTGTGAAAAAAAAAGGATCGTCCGTACGCTGTACGACAAACGCACCGCTTCGGCACCGCAGCAGGCCGTCAAGAAACGCATAAATTGAAAGCGCCCTTAGGATTAATATATTTTTACCCGCTTAGCTATCCCAACATTTGGTTGCTCTAGCCATCTGGATATCATTATTATGATTTTCCAACCTTGTGTAATTTTTTTAAAGTACGGCGTTGTCCTTGCTTTAAAAGAGAGGCGGGAATTTAGCAGGCACGCTTGCTGAACACGCCCTCTAGGCGGTAAACTATATTACGGTACATTATTTAGTATTGCATAATGTATGTATTTACTAAGCATGCCGCCGAAGCAATCCGATTGCAGTCGCAAACCATATTCGTCAAACTTATAAATTAGTATAACCATAGTAAATACTTACCTTAACAGTATGGCACATATATAAATTATCCCCAAAAAATACAATAACCTTATAAATTTTTTTGGTGATCATTTATTATTTATTTGAGGATCATTTAAATGTTACCTAATAATATAATGAAACAAACAAATTGTACTTCGGAAAGCTGAGTTAACTAAAGCAGTAATGACATACCTATGGCGAAGTAAATGGTTTTTAAGGTTATGGCTGGAGCCCTAAAGCGGGCTAGCCCCGATCAGCACGAAGAGATGACCCTACTGTGCGCCCTCAACGACAGCAACCTACCGAAGTTCCTCGCGGCCGACGCGGTGTTGTTCGCGGGCATCTTGTCCGACCTCTTCCCCGGGGTCAGCTTACCATACCGCGATTACGGCGTCATGGAAGAAGTGATAAGTTAGTATAGGAATCACCTTTTGAATGGATTAAAAGCATATTTTAATATCTCATACTTTCTTATTAATATCTACTACGTCACAACTTACGAAGTATATTATAAATCGGCGTTTTCAGTATTTGTTATTTAAATAAAGTATATTATGGGGCATCCTATACCAAAATTTCACATTTCTAACTAGTTTCGATTTTTAAAGAGACCCCGCCACAAAATTGGTCTGAAAATAGCAACTTTGACCCTTTATTATTGAAAATAATAAAAAATATATTTATATCCTACTCGACGAGCTCTAGACAATGATGTTGTCTAAACATGCTGAACGAAAAGAAAAACTAAATATTCAGCTTTGGGCAAGCATTCTACATTAAATACCAGAATGTAAGTTCTCTAACTCATCATGTTTAAGATTTAGAGAGATCCGTGACATACGGACAGAAAAACAGACAGACGACAGAGTGACAGCAATAGGGTCCCATTTTTACTATTTGGGTACGGAACCCTAAAAATGAATCAGATTAGAAGATTGCATATTTTTATTTAACTGATTACCTACCGTTGATTAAAAAATCAATGTCTAAAGTTGTTTAAAAAATATATTATATTTTTATTGTTATAAATCTCGATCCACTGATGACATATGATAAATTTTTGGTGTAGAGATACATGCGACGAATAGACAACAAAATGTTCATTTTGTCATTTGTGTTTTACTTGATTTTAAACAGAAATAATGCTGAGGGAAAAGAAATTGCAAATCGAAGTGCCCCAAATTCGTAAAGTGATACAATTGCACGAGACAATGATCGTGCGCTGGGGCGTGATGTTGGTGGGGCCGACTGGTGGCGGCAAAACTGTGGTATTGCATGTAAGTTGGCTTTCCATCTGCTTTACAACTAAAATTGGTTTATCAGCACCAGCCTATTAATGTCCCCTGCTGGGGCACATGCCTTCCCTATGGATGGAATAGGGAGATTAGGCGCTGACGGTCCTTTTTTTTTTGTGACGCAGGCCAAACCTCTATTTACAGACGACGGCGCCTTTAAGAGGCACACCGGCGAACGGACCTCACACCTGGCTCCCGCAAGCCTTACGAGCCTCCGCAGTGACTGCCCACTGAGGACCCCGTAACTCTTACGGGCGCTTTACGGCATAATATCCGCAAATAAAAAAACCCTGCGAATACCCTCTAAGCTGCTTAATTCGGAACCACGGGATCCCCGTTTAGGGATTCTTCCGCGTTTCCCCAGGTATTGCGGGGACTGCGGATTGGTACATGAGCATGAGTTTATACTTGAGCTTAATTTTTGGTCACTTATCCAATCCAATGGCCGCCCACTGCGAAAGTGTATTAACTTCATCGGTCGCAGCCGAATGCGCTAACCACTTGCGCCATCGAGCTCCTCTCATGTTATATAAAATTGGTTATCGCATGTTAAAATACCTAGTTTTAACACAGTCATGTAGCAGTGGAACTTATATTTAAGCAATTTTACTTCATTATACATAGGTCACGTCTGTAGAGTAGAGACGTCTGTCTGTTAGAAATAGATAGGTTACTGGGATCTAAATATAAAACGTCTTCATCGTTAACTCAACATTCGTCAATCACAGACGATGACGAGTGTAAGGCTTCCAAGAAAATGTTTACGTCATTTTATGGAACTCTTAACGGGCTCTCGTTTAAACGTCACCAATTTGGTCAGTATCAATATCAATGTCATCTGCATATACTTCCAGACAAAACGCCCTATAAATCCTTTCTGTACTTTTAATGCCCATTGTCTCATTCCATTACAATAGGTATGACAATGTTTTAAGTATTGATAATTCGACCATATCTGTAAAACGTAACGTATCATTACACAGATATTAGGCGATACGTATACACGACTCTACGAGGATGGCGTAGAAGGGCCACAGTATCAACCCGTCCACAAATACATAATGAACCCGAAGAGCTTGACCATCGGCGAACTGTACGGCGAAGTCAACTTGCAAACTCTAGAATGGCACGACGGCATACTACCTCTGTCCTTGAGAACTGCAGTGCAGGTAAAATGTGTTTCTTTAACTAGTTTTTAAGTCTGTTTTAATAATTAACCTCTAGTAAAAGGTAAGGATAATCTGGTTCCGTTTAGCAACAGTTGTTATTATAATATTTAAATAAAAATATCTCGGCAACAAAGCTAGGGGTAGTATACACCTCTGTCCTTGAGAACTGCAGAGCAGGTAAAATGTATTTCTTTAACTTTGATTTAAAGTCAGTTTCAATAATCAACCTCCAGTAAAAGGTAAGGATAATCTGGTTCCATTTAGCAACAGTTGTTATTATAGTATTAAAATAAAAATATCTCGGGAACAAAGCTAGAGGTAGTATGCACCTCTGTCCTTGAGAACTCAAGTGAAATGTGTTTCTTTAACTAGGATTTAAGGTCTGTTTCAATAATCAACCTCCAGTTAAAGGGTGAGGAAAATCTGGTTCCGTTATTTAGCAACAATTGTTACAATAGTCTTAATAATGAAAATATATTGGCAATAAAGCCCTAGTAGGTAGGCCTACTAGGGACTGGCTTTACTACTTGCTTTACTGGAATTTGACTAATGAAACTGGCCTTTAAGAGAAAAGCAGTCTTATTTAAATTTATGTTTCCGATTAGGAAAGTATTTAACAGGTTAATATGACTGCAGCCAATGTTACAAAAGCAGCGTCAGAATAAAATAAGATATTTTTTCGGCTTTTTCTTCTATGCTTGTGGGCATTTGAAAAAGGGAATACTAAAAAAAGGGCTTTTACTTAAAACTTTTTGCTTGAAGATGACTTGAATATCATTTTAACTGTGCAGAAATCCATCAATCCAAGCTCCCTTGTGATAGATTCAGTCTGTTCCTGTTTTATTCAGCATTAGAGCTATATAAGCTGGTGATCTTAGGAATTTCAATTGGTTGTAGTGCGAGAAAGCTGACCACCAGTGGTTGATATGCGATGGCCCCGTGGACGCTGTCTGGATCGAAAACATGAATACAGTGTTAGATGATAACAAAATGCTATGTCTCTCCAACTCTGAGCGTATCAAGCTCACCCCTTACGTGCATATGGTTTTTGAGGTAAGTTAATTATTTTTACCTACCATCGGGCTGTCTATAATAAGTATAGCATATTATAGTTATAATTTTTATTATTTTTAAAGCATGTAACTGCTTGATGTTTAAATCTAAAGAAAATATAACTAGAAAAAATTCCACGCGGACCAGGCAGCAGACGGGCCTGGTCCGCGTGGAATTTTTTCTAGTTATATTTTCTGTTATCGATAGCTCTAATTTTAACGGGAATCAAAGGGAAGAAAACGGGAGAGAAGGAAAACACGTCTTCATGACACCAAGAGCAAAAAAACAATATATTATCAAAAAATACATCAATGTCAAAAAACACGAATATTAAAAAAAATACATAAATATATCAAATAATAAGGTTGGATCAGCAACATCCTCCCCTTTTTTAGGTGAGAGGCACCAGCTTCTTAAGGGGTCTCTTAAGTTGCCCGCAGGTAGTTGTCACGTCAGCAACACGAGGTACCCCATCAATGCCTCGATACAAATGAGTGATTCTGCCTTTGGGCCACATGCCTCGTGGAAGATTTCCATCTGCTATAAGCACCATGTCCCCCACTGCAACCAATGGCTGCTGACCAGTACCCCTAGAAGGGGTTAGCAGTGGCAAGTACTCCAGTAACCACCGTCGCCAGAATTGATCGGCCATCCTAGCTGCTTTCTTCCATCTGGTTCTCCCACAGAGGTCGCTGTCATCCAAGTTAGATGGCACATTCTTCCCAGAAGAGGTCCCAATAAGGAAATGAAATGGGGTCAAGGCCTCGGGATGGTCTGGGTCAGAAGACACGTGTGTAAGGGGTCTGCTGTTCACCACCGCTTCTGCTTCTAAAAGGAGCGTTGAGAGCACCTCATCTGACGGCGACTTTTCTTTTAGGGTGACTTTTAGCGCTGTCTTAATGCTTCGCACTAGTCGTTCCCATGCTCCACCCATGAATGGAGCAGCAGGCGGTATGAATCTCCACTGGATCATTTCATTCGCAGCGAAATTTGCAATAGGCTCGCCGTACAACTTTTTCAATTCTCGGTTAAGGCCTACGAACGCCGTACCATTATCCGAGTATATCTGACGCGGGCATCCTCTTCGAGCTATAAATCTCCGCAGGCTCATCATGGCTGCGTCGGTAGACAAACTGTGGACTACCTCCAAATGAACTCCTCGAGTGACCAGGCAGGTGTAGAGAGCTATATACCGCTTTTCACTTCGGCGACCAACGGTGACTGAGACAGGGCCGAAGTAGTCCAACCCGGTGTAGGAAAATGGCCTCTCGCCGTGTGCTAGCCGTGCTGGAGGAAGCTGCCCGACGGGAGGGTTGTACGGCTTAGCTTTTCTGTGCTTACAGAATAAACAATTGTTGGCGACTGTTCTGACTGTGCTTCTCAAATGAATGATCCAGTAGATTTGGCGTAGTTCGTTGACGACCGTCTCTGTATTGGCATGAGCAACCCTTTGGTGATAGCGATGTACTAGAAGGCGAACGGCAGCATGTTTTCCATCCAGGATTATTGGCGACTTGGTGGATGCACCAACTTCGGCTACAGCGCTAATACGTCCGGATAGTCGGAGTAAGTTATCTTCGCCGATTTTGGGAGACAGGTTGTATAACTTACTGTTGCGAGGCAGTGGCATCTCTCTCTCTAGGCACTCTCTCTCTGTTTTGAATGAGTCTAATTGGCTTTGCCACAAAACGTGGTTCTCAGCTACTAGCAGGTCACACGCTGTTAAAGAAGAAGTGGTTAAGTTTGTACTGCCTACTCTACTGCGCCTACTTGCGACCTTTCTAGCAAATAGATGGGCTAAAGCAGTGGAGCGAATAAGACATAACCATCTACTGATGCGTCTGAAGCTCAAGCTTGGTTTTCCCTGGATCTGAAAGGTTAGTAAAGGCAAAATCGGCCCATCTACTGCGTAACAGTGGAGTGAGCTTACTCAATATATTTTGGAAAATTTCCGGTGATTCCAAGTAACACCTTTGGTCAAGGAGTTTTATGACCTCTACACAGTTACGTACCTTACACGCAAATTTATTTAAATCGGTACTTTCAGAAGTTAGTTTTGGTAAAGACCTGACCGTACCTATTTCTTGTAAAACTATGTATTCAGATCTACCAAACCTCAATTCTAAAGCGTCCATCACTTCAGCAGGGTCGTTAGCGGACACAAGCAGGATTGCAACCGCATCACGTGCCGCCCCACGGAGACTCTGCCCGATGCGCGCTAGATTCTCGACTGGAGAGAACGCTGACTTGGTGTCCGCGAACACACGCTTGAAGGCCAGCCAGTCCAAAGGCTTGCCGTCGAAGTTAGGCAGGCGTCCATCGCCCACGATCCTCGGCTTCGACGAAGCACCGCTTGCGAGTGATTTAATAGCCTGTGCTAATAAAGCTATGTCAGTGGGTTTCCTTGTTTCATTTTGGTTTTCTAAGCTAGTTCTAAGTGGAATGTGGGCTGTGTTGAGGGGTAGAATTGGCTGCTGTGAGCTTCCCTCGCCACTAATAATTTTATTTTGGCACACACTTTCCATTACTACTTGACGTTCAATTAACGCGCTAGGACCCATCGTAGGCTCTAACGTAACGTCTTCGTGAGCATAATTAGAATTTGCTGATGCTAACCAATTTTGTATTGATGAATGAGACCGAGAGGTTCTTCTGCTCCCACCACCTTCCGCTTCTAGCGCCGCGATTTTCGCTTTTAGCTCCAGGTCCGCAATTTTTAGTTCGGCAGTCGCTGCTGCAGCTGCTCGCTCCGCCTCGGCAACTCTTCGTTGGTGCGCCGCCTGGAGCACGAGCTTCTGGGCGCGAATAGTCGCTGAGGAACGGGATGATCTAGAACTTTCGGACCTTTGAGATCGAACATTTGAGTTCGGTACCACCGTGGATGTTGTAGGCTCTACATCACTCATTGTGTTATTTTTCTGCTGCTGTTCCTCCTCTCGAGCTCTCCTTTGATTCCTCGTTTCGACCATAGAATATGAAGAGAAAAGAAATGAAACGGACTATTTGAAGACAATTTTATAGGAAAGTTCAAAACAATAAGGAGAAGGACCACAATGTTATCGATAGCTCTAATTTTAACGGGAATCAAAGGGAAGAAAACGGGAGAGAAGGAAAACACGTCTTCATGACACCAAGAGCAAAAAAACAATATATTATCAAAAAATACATCAATGTCAAAAAACACGAATATTAAAAAAAATACATAAATATATCTAAAGAGGCTGATAGGTTGGATCAGCAACATTTTCTATAGCATATTATGTTTCTGTCACCCTTTGCTCGCGTCCGCATAACCCTTATATACAATGCAGAAGAACGCACAAAATTGTATCTGAAAGTTGCTCGAGCGAACTTTATCACTGGGTGGCGCCATCTATTGGACAGAGTATGTAGCGCGCCCCCGTACCGAACTTCCTTCGCTGCCTTCCAAACACAGCACGTGGTTCGAGGATTTCTACTGGATGTCGCTTTTGTACCTATTCTTTTACTGCTTTAGAGTCAGTATTGTTATGTCTTAAAATATCTAGCACTTGTAAATTCAATCAATCGATTATATAAAAAGGGAAATACGATGATAACACCGAGCCTTATTGATTAAAGACTCCAGATTCCATGCCGTTTGGACACCTTTTTTACATAAAAAAGTGGAAATTGCATAATAACCTTGGTTTGAAATTATGATTAGCCCCTATGTATTCGTATTTTGTCATTATATAATCGTTCTTTATGGCGACAGAATTAAAGTTTATTTTCGGACCTCTTTTTTCACTAGATTCAAAGTGTACTTTATCCTGTTAGCTTAAGGAACTGACATGAACTGCTAGGACCGCATTCTTTCGTAGGTCACACTTGAACTTAATACCGCCAACAGCAAAATAGAGAAATTTACATCAAAAACATATTAAGGTTAAAAGCTATTTGTATAACTTTGTATTTAATAGATTTTTTAATTCGTCCATATTGAGGTTCCGAATCTAGCGCAAGCCTCGCCAGCTACAGTGTCTCGATGTGGCCGGCAAGTTGTGTACAAAGACCCGCACGAGTCCTCAGTCTATACCTAATAATACTCCTTACAGGAAAATGGAAAACACTACGTCAAATTCGTTATTAAACTTAATAGTAGGAATTTTTCGTAATTTGATTTAATTTTAATATTGTTTTTATCCGTCCATATTAAGGTTGCGGATCTGGCCCAAGCCTCGCCAGCTACAGTGTCTCGATGCGGCATGGTGTACATAGACCCGCATGAGATAGGCTACCTCCCGTACATACGATCTTGGCTGGAAGAGGGCGTAGAGAAGAACCTATTCAACCAGGAGAACTCGGAGTTCCTTTACGAACTCTTCAAGATGCTGGATGTGGGAGTGAAATATGTCAACTCTAAGTGTAGTGTCGGAATCAGACAGGTTATATGCTTATTTTGGTTCTTATTTTATTCGATAGCTCCCGTGATGTTGAGACAAACTGCTTACAATTCTTGAAAGTCAATTATTGCGCCTCATTTATTGTATTTGATAATTGGTCTTGTATGTACAAGAAAATTGCATCGTGTAAATGACGCTTTAATAGGATGCCTTCTACTCACCAATCCGCACTGGGCCCAGTGCGAACCGAAAAGGAACTTTGTTCCAATAAAAAACTTAATTACATTTTATATTTGAATTGTATGAACTTAAAACAGCGTAATGGAATAATAATACGATAAGTTAATATTGGTAGATTCGTGGTCGTGATATCATTCCAACCTACAGGTGGACATCAGCAAAATATCAGCACTGTGTTACCTATTGAGTGCTTTACTCTCAGAGCCCGGGGAAAGATTTCCTGAGAAGGCCGCCATCAAAATGTACATTGCTCACTGCTTCATATTTTGTTATATCTGGTGCATCGGAGGTAACATACTGGAATCTAATAGAAAAGGCTTTGAGGAAGTTGTCAAGCGCCAGTTCGAAGAGTTTGAGGAAGCCGAATAGTAAGTGCTTGGCATAGATGACAGAACTTAAAAGAGATATTATTATTTTTCTCGCTACAAGGTCTCCTGTCGTAGATTTTCGAATCAAAGGCGTAGCTTCTCGGCATTCAAAAGTGCTCTAAACTCTAAACTAAATAAACGATATTAAAATTAGTTTTTCTTTGACTAATAACAAAAGAATTGTTTCTTTTTTTATTGCAAGTACTGTTTTATACGAAGTAATCTTTCGGACTATTGAAACGAATTTGTAAATTCTTTCACCTAGAATGCCACATCGTTTTTGTTTGACATAGGTTACATTTTATCGCATTAAAAAAATGCACTCGTGGTTGGGACGCGATAAAGGCATTATGGTAAATCGTTTTGTTTTTGCTTTGATAAATCATGCCGTCAATGACTTTTACAGTTTTCCACAAGGTTTCAACTTCTTCGATATGTACATGGACACGAGACAGCGCAGGCTGAAAGCGTGGGGGGAGATAATACCAGATTTCCTGTACGATTGCAACAGGCCCTTCTTCGAGACATTGGTTCCAACCATAGACACAGTTCGCTATGGATACTTGTTCGAGAAACTTTTGAACAGTGGGAAACCTGTTATGTTTACAGGAAACACAGGTTAGCTGAAATGACTCAATGGTATACATACAGGGCGTCCCACGGCATTGTCACACGCAGGGAAAGTATGTTAAACATTGAAGATATGATATTTTACTGAAAGAAGACATCATTTTATTTTTAATAATAACTAGAACTGCATTCACATTTTTTTTAAATCGTAAACTGCATTACAGATTTATTTAAAATCGCCTGCCATAACCGGGTTTCAAACTCGTGAAATGTGAAAAAAAATACATGACGCATATTATGATTACCGTCGAAAAGGTAAATCATAAGTAGATTTTTTTTTTCAATTCAAACATTTTATATGAGAGCCTCCAACAGCTAACATTATCATTGCTAAGTATTTATTAGTATCTGTTCACTTAATAATACAAGATTTGTTTATTATATGTACGTAAAAAAAGAATAAAGCAATACTTATACAAACTGTTGTAGGTACTTGTATGCATTTCTTTGTGAGGTCATAATTGCAATGCGGCTGGCTTTTTGTGGGATCATGGAAAAGATTTAGTTAACAAGAACCGGCATGACAGAGTGCAGTAGTTACAAAATGAACTTAGACGTGTTATTTCCAACATGCCCCATGCAAAGTTAAGTTTATCGACAGGCAGACACAATTATTTAAAGAGTGACAATTTTTAGACTACATTATGAATCACATTGAGAACATTTGATAAATAAAATAAAAATTTTTTTGCGCCGTTTCTTTTTTTATTGTTTATGTTCAATATTTAAAATAAACCGTTAAATGTCATGTTCTTTCTTTCTTTTAAAAGCTTTGTTATTTAGAAAAAAGTAATACTTTTAATTTACCCTTTCGACGGTTACCATAAAATACGATATGTTTTTTTTTTCACATTTCACGAGTTTGATTCCCTGTAGGGACAGGCGATTTGTAAAAAATCAGTGAATGCAGTATTTAATATATTGCATACTTATTATTAAAAATAAAATGACGTCTTCTTTCAGTAAAATATCCTATCTTCAACATTTAATATACTTTCCCTACGAGTGGCAGTGCCGTGGGACGCTCTGTTGACGGTGAGCACGCAATTTGGCCTTGGTTTAATTGGTTACCCATACAAACACCATCCCCCTTTCACCCCCTTAAAGTTCATCCTTCATCCTTTATCCTTATCCATATATGCTGATGAGTTTCTTCCGCCTATTCTTCTCATCAATAAAAAGATTTTGGTAGAAAACAATGGGACGATTCAGAAGAGAAAAGTCAATTTGAATAACGTATAGTTTTATTTCAAATCCTTTTGGGGATAGAAACCCATTCGATGTCCTGCCCCCTGACTCAACTATCACTAAACCAAATTTTATCTCAATCGGTTCAGTAGCTTAAGCGTGAAGAAGTAACGGAAGTTTCATTTATAAGTGATGGATGATAATAATAATCAAGGAATTTGTGGAGCTCGTTAGTATTTGGTGTGCGATCATGGAAGTTAAGCAACTTTCGCAATGATCCGACATAGGATGGGTGATCGAAAACTTACTATCAAGTTCCTCTGTGCTTCGACGTTACGTCATTGATTCCGACTGTATCTACAGCCGTTAACACCCGACAACCCGCGTTGTAGGTCAGGGTCTATTTTCCCATTACATCTACACAGTCGGGTCATAAGTATTGTCACACAGTAAAAACTTTTCTTTTAGAATGCGGGCCACAAAAAAGTTTATTGAATTCGAATTTCGAATTGTTCATGAAAATAAAACTTTATACTTTTTAGAATTTTACTCATTTTTAAATATGGAGTGGACGCTTAAAGAAGACCGTATTGCAGTTATTGCGTTGCATCGTTGCGTAGGGAAGATGCATATATAATATTTATGAAAATTTTATGATTAAAATGTTAAAAAAATATAAAAGAAATGCCACTGCAACGTTTTTATTTTATGACAACTTCTTTGTGGTTATGGTTGTTAAAGTAAATATTATTTTATAAATAATATTTATTGCGTTTTTTTACATTTAATAAAAATGGAAGTTGCGTTTATCAAAGCAGACTCCAGGAATTTACCAAGAGTTAGCGTTGACATGGTTATAACTTTTTTTGTCCAAAGTGCAGGGTTTTTAAGTGTAGAAATGAAAGGGACTAAATTACTACGGTATGTAAAAATCGTAGTTGTTAAACTTCGTATTTTATTCAGCGGCTTCTACAAATCTTACGGCGATAATGCATTCGGCTATGTCCAAATTAAAAGAGATGGAAAATTATGTACAGTAAAAGGTTGAGTTCTCCGGAGCATAAAGTACGTAAAGAAAGTTATCGTGATACAGTTATTTTAAATGAAACGCAAAGCTTGGTTCAGTCCTGCCAATGTGAAGATTGTGCCACACATTTTAAACTTTATCTAATTTTCGACGTCATTCTCCAACTGTAAAATTAAAAATATGTTATAGACAGGTTTTGTAAGTATTAGGTACGTTACTAATGCGTTTTTACGTACAAGCAGATTAATTAATTATATAACAAGTATATTCGCCGACTTACGTCAAAGTGATCTTCTCAGCATCGAATAAGGTCTTTGGAGAATAATTGTCATTTCTCTTCGCAGCTTGAAACCACTTTTTTCAGTTTTGGGTCAGAAGTTCCAGTCAAAAACAATTTATTTGGGAATTTTGTTGAAGTAGATTGGCACAAAACATGAGTCAACACGGCTTTTTTTTCGGAATATTAGTGGTATTGTTATGATCACATGATGTTGATGGATAGTCCATTTTAAATTTTTCAAAAAAATATTTCGAAAATTGAAAAAATATGCAAAAGTATGAAAATTTAAAGCCAGCAACGAACAATTACGACCAGTGACAGACAGGAGTGACGTCATCGCAACCATAGGTTCGTTTTCGTGCGAAAATTTAAATTGTCAATTTAAAACCGCATTTTTTCCGATAAATCACAATGTTTTAATTTTTTAAAATATCTGTGGTTTATTCTACATGGAATTCTTTAAAATGAAAACAAAAATAAAAATATTGCATATTCCCTATTCAAAATTTTGACATACCGTAAAATTTGATTATAACCAAAAGATTCATTTATCGTACCATCAAATGATACAATGAAGACTCTAGTGTAGATGACAGGTCAAGAAGTGGTCGCCCTCGGTCTGTTAGGACTCCAGCAGTGATAAAAACTGTGAAGGCGCGAATTCAAAGAAATTCCAAACGTAAGCAGAAACTTGGCCCTTCAGATGGGGTTAAGCAGAACCACGGTGAAAAGGGTGTTAAATGAAGACTTAGGGCTTCGGGCATATCGAAGAAAAACAGGACATCTTTCGAATGTTCGTCTAATGGACCTGAGACTGAAGAGATTGTATTTCGCTTTATTGAAGCGGTACGCGGGAAAAAAATATCGGGAAATTCTTTTTTCGGATGAAATTTTTTTTATCGTAGAAAAGAGCTACAACAAACAAAATGATAAGGTGTTCGCAGTTACGCACACAGTAGTGAAGAAGCGAGCAACCGTATTCCGCGTGTCCAACGAGGTCATTTTCCATCCTCGCTCGTGGTATGGTTGGGAGTTTCTTATTGGGGCTTAACACAGGTACATTTTTATGAGAAAGGTGTAAAAACGAATGCAGTTGTGTATCAAAATACAGTCCTGACGAACCTTGGGGAACCTGTTTCTCATACCATAGTCAATAACAGGCACTGGGTATTCCAACAAGATTCGGCGCCAGCTTATAGAGCGAAGAGCACACAAGACTGGCTTTCGGCGCGTGAAATCGACTTCATCCGGCACGAAAACTGGCCGTCCTCCAGTCCGGATTTGAGTCCGTTAGATTACAAGATATGGCAACACTTGGAGGAAAAGGCGTGCTCAAAACCTCATCCCAATTTGGAGTTACTGAAGACATCCTTGATTAAGGCAGCCGCCGATATTGACATGGACCTCGTTCGTGCTGCGATAGACGACTGGCCGCGCAGATTGAAGGCCTGCATTCAAAATCACGGAGGTCATTTTGAATAAACTTTATTGTCATAACAATTTATGTTTTGTGAAGTTCATTTTCGGTATATAAATGTTTACATAATGAATAAACTGGTTTCAATTATTTTATATTAAACAGGTGACAGAATTTGACCTGACTAGGTAGGTAAGGCCTGTGCTTCAAAAGTGTGGATATTAATACGCTAGTCATGAATGTGAAGGAATTTGGATGGTGATACTTCTTGAAAGTTCTTTTCGGAGAATGGCCAACTTTAATGTCCATTATTACTACTGATTACTCGTAGATGTGATCAGAAGAAAAATCTAATGTCACATACGAATGTTATTTGTATGGAACCCTATTTACAATTGAATTTTTAACTTACAGGTGTCGGCAAAACCTGCATAGCAGCTGAAGTGCTCAACAAGTTGGCGGTGTCTGGTTATTTTATACCGATTATATTGAATTTTTCTGCGCAAACAAGCAGCACAAGGACCCAAGTAAGTTGTTTCATATGTCAACATTGCCATTAATAAATGTATTATCTAATACATATGAACTCATACTAATATGAACTTGACTGTATGAAGGTTTACAGGAAATAATTAATATCAATAAAAATATTTAAGATTTTTCTACGTGCGATTGTTGATTCGAAAAAATACTGTTTAACAAAAGTAGTAGTGACCTGAATTGTATGAGAAATTAAAAGGAATATTATATGATCTAAATAAATCCATATATCTTGCTTTCTTCTACTATAACGTTTAAGTACAAGCATTATTATTATTTTGTATTTATAAAAAATGATTATGATCTTTTACAATAGGAAGTGATAGAACTCCGCCTAGAGAAGAGACCACGCAAGGCGATCGGCGCCCCGCTCGGAAAGAAAGTGGTTATTTTTATCGATGACGTGAACATGCCTAAATTGGACGTCTATGGAGCACAGCCTACGATCGAATTGTTGAGGTACGGATAAATGATAAAACTATTGTAGGTTTCTATCCTCCATAATCACTAAATTTGACACAAGTGAACAGTATTGATACTTGTGGCACACATATGCTAAAACTTAATCACTTACTAATTAGTTGACTTGCTTGATTAGATCACAAATAAGAACTATACAAAGAAATAAGCAGACACTTGGCAAGCCCTTTCTACGAATCGCGATAGTGGGAGTTAATACGAATACGGCATGTAGTGGCCGACACCGGCCCGGGTAGAAACCGTGTTTAGACCCGTCGGAAAATCGTTTGTTAACAAGCGAATTTTAAACGCTTTTTCATTGTACCGAAGAACTATAGTCTGTCCATTATATTATTATCTTTTTGACAGATCGACCGAAGTAAAACTAGTGAAACCCTATCACATAACTCGTTCGATTTAAAGCTATAATGAATTTTATACTAGAACATTGTTTAATCGATTATAAGTATCGAAATTATTTTAGTTATCAAAAATACTGATGTTTAATAAATTATTACAAAATCGCATTAGATTTATAATTTTACCTAGTACAAATATTTGTGTGATGAGCACGAGTATTTGTTCTGTGTCTGGGTGTGATTTACCTATAATATGTATGTATAAACAACAAAAAAATCAGTATACTTTTTATTTTTGTTTATCCTAATACTCAGTACAATTAGATTTATTGATTATAATTAATAAAAAGAAACATCAGCCCCATCGAGTTACAGCTGTTGACAGCTTTGATACCGATGCTATTCATCGTCATATATAGGGTGAAATTGAATGTTTAAATGAAACTTCGTGAGATTGTTGGGTAACGTGTATAGAGTATGCCTAATTGTTTCGGATTTTTTTGAAGTATATTTTTTCATGTATTTATTTATAATTTGTGTATTTTTTAAATCCTTTCTTCCTTTTTAGTAGTTATTCATTTTTAACAAACATACTTACATATCCCCTGAAAAACAACTAATAAACAAGCACAACAACGGAAAACCAGGAAAATTCCACCGCGGGTCAACGACCGACCGCGCCCGCCAGCCGTTGAGTGAGTAGGTACCTACACAGAGCTCAGCTGACTCCTTTGATTCCACACAATACAAAAAATCGGTGGATAGTCTTAAGACTGCACTCGCTCACTGCGCTTTGCACCGCGCATAGTTAGGTATTATAGGAAGGTATTCAACGGCGGGATTCTGTTTTTACGGTTTTTTAGTAGTGCTTATTAGTTGTTTTTTACTTACTCTGTATGCTTGTTTAAAAAGAATAATTATTTAGTACTCAAAAGGAGGAAAGCACTTAAAATATAAAAAAAACGAAATTTTATTTTAAATCATTTTAAAAAATCCGAAAAAAAATCAGAGATACTCTATATACGTAACCCAACAATCCCACGAAGTTTCATTAAAACATTCATTTTCACCCTATATATGACTATTATCAAAGAAAAGAAACCCCAACCTTAAGAAAAATGCCTCTGACACTGCGAAATAGTTATTTGTTTCGCGGTCAAAAGTCCTGGTTAGCAAAAGTGTTACGTTAAAAAGTAGATTTAGTAAACATTTTAAATGAAAATAAACAACCAAAACCGTATGTTATTGATGAAATGGCAGCAGAATGTGGACATATTGTGCTCAGACTCCCACCTTATCATTGCCAGTACAATGCTATTGAGCTGATATGGGCACAAGTAAAAGGAAACGCCGCAAGAAAGAACACAACGCCACCGTTAACAACAAACAAGATGGTGGAACTTTTAAATAACGCGTGTGGTGATTTTACACCTGAAAACTGGGCGAGTGTCGTTGAACGAACAAAGAAAACTATAATGTCTGACTGGGATCGAGATGTTGCCTTTGACAGTATACAACAGAATGAGCTCATCATTAATACCGAGGGCACATCTGATGATGAATCCAGATTTTATGAAAAATCTGATACGTCTGAATAAATTAAAAATAAACTAAGAAGACATTTATAGAATGAACTTTATATAATGTTAATATTTTAATTACTTGGTTTCTACCTAACCAAATTGTACTCATTTATTTCTACCGATTATTTGTAATCTGTGGCACAATATTAATAAACATTATGTGTGGAGCATCACTAAGTGGCGGTACCCGTCCATGAAGTACAATATTATTTGCATGACATTTTAAAGTAAACAATACAAAATTTCATGGGCTTCGATCTGTCAACAAGATAATAATAGAATGGACAGACTATAGTAACTTATATTTTAATTAAGTTAATGTAATATAGGTATTATGTATGTAGGATAGAATGCAGCAAAAATAACGAAAATCCCCTGTAAAGTATTTAATTTTAATTTTCTTAAAAATAGCATCGTACCACGCGGCGTAATCGTTGTGGCAAGAGAATCTTCTTCTTCTCTCACGCGCGTACTATCTCATTCACACACTAATACGTCATTCACCCCGTCCCTATTCCATACATCGCGCTCTGTTCCACATTCTTTTTCGCGGATTTATCAGTGTTTGTAAACACTACAGCAGTATTATTATATAAATGTTTGATTTCTTCAGACAATTTCTCGACTTCGGCGGCGTATATGACCGTGACAAATTATATTGGAAAGATATTCTGGATGTAGTATTATGTTGCGCTTGCGCACCTCCCGGTGGCGGACGAAATCCGCTCACAGCTCGCTTCGTGAGGCACTTCGCCATGTTTTACATATCCGCACCCAATTCTGATGCCATGAAAACTATATTCAAGGTAATCTAAGACTAATTTATTTAAAAATAAAGTTTAATTTTTAAGTAGTACTTAACAACAACCCATGACAACACATATAAGAATAAACTTAATAAAGGTAATCAATCAATGCTCATCGGGTTGTAGTTTCTAGTTTTGTAGTTAAAATATTACCCATGGCTCCGCCTGCAGTTGTTAACACCCATCATTAAAAATTATGACACTTGGCGAGTTGTTATGGTCCCTTTGTTCCAAGATATTGTAAGCCTTATAATCAATTATAATGATTTGTATTTAAGGCTATACTAAAAGGGCACATGGAAGATTTTGTCCCCGAAGTATCAGTACTGGGCGATCCGATTGTGAACGCGGCAGTGGAAGTATATTTAAAGATTTGCGCGGAACTTTTGCCGACGCCCGCTAAATCGCATTACGTATTCAATTTACGCGACCTGTCCAAGTCGATGCAAGGCGTACTGCAAGCTGATGCCGCGTACATGCGATTGCCACAGGCGATGCTCAGGTAATAATACAAACAAACTTATTATTACCTGCTTGCTTTTGGAAGTAACATTCGAAAGGGAAGATGTTTTCCATAACATTTACATGAAACAATGAAAGTCCATCACCTGATTCCCTATCAGATCAGATTACAAGAAATAACCGTATTTACGAGTATTCCGAAATAATTCAAAATTAGTCAAAATACTACTTTTTTCTATTTTTGTAGATTGTTCTATCATGAATGTCTTCGAGTATTCCATGATCGCTTGATCAACATAGAGGACAAGAGCTACTTCTATCAATTAATGAGTAACGTGTGCCAGAAGCATTTCCAACAACCGATTTTGGACATTCCCGAGGATCCTATAATTGAACACCCTCCGCTTCTACTCTTTGGAGATTTCTTAAATTCCGCTGTACCTAAAGAAAACAGAGTTTATGCAGAGATTCCAGATGTGCAGAAGTTAATGGTTGTTTTAAAGGTAAGTCATGGTGTAAAAAGTTTTGGTTTTATTCATTCAGTCATTGCGATGGAATAAGATTTCACTCGTTTACCACAAGTCCTCCTCTTCCTCCTCCTAACGTACGTAGAAAAAAGTGTTTCGTATTCTTATATTTTTTGAGTGAGAAACCTTCGCATATTCAGATTTACTCGCTATCACAATCTGATTAACGGCTGAGTAAAAAAAACTACTCATTAGAAAAAAGTTCATGGTAAATGTTGGAAGTTCTGTGTTTGAAAAGTTTCCGCCGGCATTTGTTACAGGAGTACCTCGAAGAGTACAACTCGACAGCTCGCGCGGAAATGCACCTAGTGTTGTTTCAAGATGCGGTGGAGCACGTGGTGCGTGTGGCGCGCGTGCTGCGGGCCGAACGCGGCCACAGTCTGATGGTCGGCCCCGGCGGCTCGGGCCGCAGGAGCGTCGCCACGCTCGCCGGCCACGTCAACGAGTGCAGGTGTGTGTGTATGTACTGGGGCCGCCCCGAGGTGCGGGGCAGCACATGGTGCGGGTGGCGCGCGTGTTGTGGGCCGAGCGCGGCCACTGTCTGATGGTCGGCCCCGACGGCTCGGGCCGCAGGAGTGTCGCCACGCTCACCGGTCACGTCAACGAGTCCCGGCAAACTTCTTGAGCAACGATCATAGACAAGGAAGCCTGCGTAGTAGCAATTTTACATATACAAAAACTTCTACTGTACAAGTTTATTTATACGTGGTTTTTGTCAAGAAGTTTGCCGCGACCTATTCTGGGACCGCCCCCAGACAAGGCGCAGCAGGTGGTGCGGGTGTGCAACTGTGCGGCTTTGAGTATATCTGTTCAATATGCCTACACAGTTCGGCTGTTAATTGCAGAGGGAGGTGCAAATCTTAAATACTTCGTTTTTGTTAGGGGCCTCCACTCCTTCGTTGTCGCAGGGCCTCCACACCTCTAAATCCGGCCTTGATCCTACACCATAGCATTTCATACAATACAACGCCGTATGCTGCTACACGCTGTGCTGTCTAGGTCAAACCAGATGAATCATAGTGCTTAACTGTGATTCATCTTGTTTGACTCGTGCTTATTTCTTTAAGTATCGTACATAATGCTGCAGCATCAAGGATTAGTTAAGGATTTTAATTTTGATATATAGAATAACCAACCAACAGCCACATTTATGAGTGCGTGTTTGTTTCTCTCTGTCTCTCTCTCTTTGCATGTGTGCAAAAACTTGCGTGTCTTTATCTTATAAAAAAGAATTTTATTCTCATTTTGTAAGTTACCCGAGATATAGATTTACACATTTACAGATGTATGGGCATGGAGTTAAAGCGAAACTACGATACGGCGGAGTTCCACGACGACTTGCGAAGGATGTACATGCGCGCCGGAGTCAACTACGAGGACACTGTGTTCCTATTCACCGACACGCAGATCACCAAGGAGGAGTTCTTGGAGGACATTAATAATATGCTTAATTCCGGTCAGTTTATCAACATCAGCCCATAAATATTCCTAGTGCCGGTCTGTGCTCCAGCCAGGGTAGGATTTAAGGTAGGGCAGTCGGGGCTGCCATTCAGGGGGCCCCACAATAGTTGCAAATCGTAAGAGGTCCGGCCCAATTAAGGGCCTCCACTCCTTCGTTGCCCCAGGGCCGACACACCTCTAAATCCAGCCCTGACCCCAGCAGTGGAGATATTGATTATAGGCTGATGTTAACTTTCCCTTGGATTGCATCAAGAGAGTACGGGTGTGATTTGATGAGTGCTAACCACTGCAGAAGTGCAGATGCAGCCGAGACCAACGGTCACCAACGTTTTCTAGTCATTCAACCGTAGAGTAAACCCTAATTTCCTGATAAATTATGAATTATAAACGTTGTTTAGTTTAGTAGCTATAGATAAACCACACTTACATTGTTCCGCGCGCGGGAATGAGGTAATGCAAATTATACATTATTTTTTTAATCTTTTTAAAATATTTTAATAAATATTTCTAACACTCACTCCAAGTAGCCTAGCTCCAAAATAAGCACTGTAAGACTTGTGTTATGGAATACTAGGGTAACAGATAAACCACTTATAGGAACTGATAAATATAGGTATATTTATTTACTCTAAAAATATTAAACGTCCATGACTTAGGTACAAATGCTCGCATTTATCGTATAAACATTTGCCTCATCGGGATTCGACCCCAGGACCTCTGAGTGACGACATTTTGAAACACAGCGTACATACTATTCACGTCGCGTCAAATCGTCGTCTTTATACACTTCTGGACACATCTATTGGCCCACCTTAGAGTTTAGGTTTCGATGGCCCCTACCGAAATATGATTGCTAGATTGAACAAAAACTGTTGATGCAGTTTTAAACCTGATACATTTTACCATCTTTTTCGATCGTATTGTTTTAAATTTGAATTCAGAATACCATACGACATGGAGCTACGCCTAACAAGTCGGATATGCGCCTTGTTAAAGGTAATTGATTTTTGAATAAAAAACATGTTTTATCAAATAAAGGTTTAATTTAATTACCCGTGTTGCCTCCAGGGGCATCTACCACCGCTCTCATACGATTAGGCATAGAGTTTATCAACCGCTCTATGAAATTTTGAGGGATCATCTCCCATTCCTCTTCTATGGCAGTTTTCAACTCCTGCATCACGTCTTTTTAGCTCGTCCCACATGTGCTCAATGAAGTTCATGTCTGGGCTTCTGGCTGGCCAGTCCATAACTATGATGTTCACATCCCGAAGATATTCCATGACGATGCCGGCCGCATGGGCTCTTGCATTATCTACTATATAAAAATAAGTCGGGTTTTCCTTCCTGACGCTATAACTCCAGAACGCACGAACCGATTTCCACGGTTTTGCATTCGTTGGAAAGGTCTCGGGCTTCGTGAGGTTTATAGCAAAGAAAGTTCAGGAAAATTTAAAAAAAAAACTTATTTTAATCACCAAACGAAATGTTACATAAAACGAAGCCATCTGGTGGCGAAACGGAGTTCGCCGGGTTTGCTAGTCATGCATAAAAAGGAAATTTGGGCCTACATAGTCCGCGTTTGGTATCACGTGAGGTTCTAAGCACTCACGAATGTACTTTTCAGCATTTAATGTTGGCAGCCGTGGTCCTGTAACAACCTCAAGTTGAGTTTTGCCGCTCGCGGATATACCGCCCCAGACAGTCCATGAGCCACCGCCTTAAGCAACCCTCTCTACAAAGCAGCATTGTGCGAAACGCTCTCCCTTACGTCGGTAGACCTTCTACCTTCCATCATTGCCATGTAACACAATTTTAGACTCATCAGAAAAGAGTACACGGCTCCAATCTTGCTGTGTCCAATTTAAATGACTGCGTGCGAAATGAAGTCGCGCTGTTCGGTGGGCTCGCGTTAGTTTGAGCCCATTAGCTGGCTATGTGGCGTTCTTTTAACCTTCTCCGAACAGTTCGAGCGCTCACAGATACTCCGTGGAAGTTGCGAATTTGTTTTTGTATCTCAATGGACTTACCTCCATTTCGATTTCTCAAGCTGGTCGTCACGATGAATCGATCCTGCCTTTCAGTTGTGACCCGAGATCGTGGCCTTCCTTGGCGACGAACAATGCCGCCAGTCTCTAGGTACCTCCGATAAACATTTCGGACCGCAGATCGACTTAAATTAAGTTGAGCACTCACGTTTCTTTGGCTGTGTCCGGTCTGAATAAGTGCCAAAGCTTGGGCGGCGACTTCAGGTGAAGTATCCATAGATTATTGATAGAACCTCACCTTAATGTTAAGAATAAGTAATGTTTGTTGCAAAACCAAAGATAATAATCACTTTTTCAAGAATTAAATCCAAGTAAACCAATAAAACCAAGTTTTCTTAGTATTCAATTGTTTGATATCAACAAACAGGCTCCAAATTGTCTTTTATTTCTTTAAATTCAGTGTTCGAAATTCAAAAAAAGACTATTGAATGAAATTGTGAATGTGCCAGGTTCAAAACTGCATAAAAACTTTTTGTTCGGCCTAATAAAATTTTAGCTAGGACCAAACGAAACTGAAAATACATGGTGGGCCAATAGATGTGTCCAGAAGTGTATAATTCAATTAAGGTTTTCCAATAACAAACTTTCTTATACAGTAATTTCTTAAAATTTGAGCCTCTACTTGTACAAAATTTATAATAAGAAGTGCTTCTTAAGATTTAAATTTAATTTATCCTATATAATTCAGACGATGGCGCAAGTGGTTAGCGCGTTCGGCTGCGATAGTTGAAGTTAAGCAACTTTCATTGGATGGGTGACCAAAATTCTTCTATCTCGAGTTCATCCGTGCTTCGGAAGGCATATTAAGCCGATGGTCCCGGCGGCATCTGCAGTCGTTAGCACACGCCAATCCTCACTGGGCTCGCGTGGTGGGTCATGGCCCAATCTCCCTATTCCATCCAAGGGAAGGCCTGTCTCCCAGCAGTGGGGACATTAATAGGCTGATGATGACGATGATGAAAAATTCAGGCGAAGTGCCGAACCTCTTCGAAGGCGACACGTACGAACAAGTTCAGACCGGGTGCCGCAACGAGGCGGGCAAGTGCGGCCTCAACCCGGCCGACAGAGACGGCGTCTACTACTTCTTCATTAACCGTGTGCGCTCGAAGCTGCATCTCTGCATATGTATGAGCCCCGTCGGCGAGGCTTTCAGGTTAATTCAGATTTTTTGATATCCCAAATTTTGATAACTTAGCTATATTTTCGCTAAACTTTAACCTTTTAGAAACTTCTAGAGTGTGAAACAAGTTCTGCATGCGTAATGTTTTTATTGCGACGGAAATTTTTAACTAAATTAAAATGGCATGTACTTGTATTGAAACAGTTGCCTTTTTTATGGTAGATGCTAAAACATTGTGACTAGATTAACATTTACATTTGTCGTATAAAACACGAATTGCCGCCCTTCATGAGTTTTACTTAATTTACTTTAATCTACCTATAAGAAATTTACTGCATATGTAAATAAGATTTATTAACAACTATGGTTGCTGTCTATCAAAAAACAGATATAAAGCAATGCGGGGGGCATTAGAAGTATTTTAAAAAGTACGCGCCAGCATTATATCTACCTTTTAAGGTTGACTCACTATATTCTTTTTACCTTAACTAACGCGGGTGAAACCGCAAAGCATTTCTAGTTCTTAATAATATGTTACAGGCGACGATGCAGAATGTTCCCATCGCTGGTGAACTGTTGCACTATCGACTGGTTCACAAAATGGCCACCAGAGGCGCTGCTGTCAGTGGCTGAACAATGCCTGATGCCCATGGGTGATCAGAAAATAATAAAGAAGATATCTCAGCTCTGCGTTTCTATGCATGGAGTATGTTCTTACATTTATACATCGCAAATTATTTTCAATAAAATAAAAGATTCTGTAATTTCCTATACAATACATAATAATTGAAAACTGGTTAAATTCTTAATTATCTTAGCATGAAATTAGGCAAAAAAAATTTTTTTTAGCGTGGGACCTATTATCATTGGAGTAATAATAGTAGTTTATGATACTGTTGCATACTAAGGGTTCTTAGAACATGAGTGTGTTTTTTTATAGTATCACACAGGTGTTATAAAACCAAGTTATGTACAGTGTCATACACCACTTTATCTACTCTCATACTATAATACGTAAAACATTATTGCAAATAAAACGCTGAATATAACAACAAATTCATTTTTACTTGTAATAATTATTGATGTTCTGAATATTACAATTATGAAACTGAATTTGAACCGGACAGGAAGCGTTATTGGAGGTACTCAGAGAGGGTATGTTAATGTTGACCTCATTTCTGTTATTTTCAATACTGTTAAGTATTGAATTGGATACAGCGATCTTGTTAGTCATTGAATCATCTATATAGCCTTCTACAACTGTCGCCACCGTGTCGCTTTAGTGCCGTTATATCTCCACCAGCGTCAACTAGCAAGGTCGCAGATGTTCGGGGAAAGCAGTGTCCTGTGTACAATTCGGGGTCGGTAAGCTGGCAATAACTTTGCCTAAAGCTCCAAATTTGTTAATGCCAACTCTCTGCGTCGTGCATTTTCCGGCAGTATAGTTTAGAAAAAAACTGGGATTGCTGCACTCAGTTGGTCGTAGCTCTATGTATTTTTGCATTGTTCATAATATTTCCCAGTAACGGTAAAAGAGCGGTCCGTCTTGGTTTTAGTTTTACTTATTTTGATCAATAGTTTAGTTTCGAAGACTTCAACATCTTTGAATTGTATGTTATATACTCTTGCCGTCGGCAAGCACCCATTATACCAAAAATTAGTGCAATCTGTAACAACTCATATACACCGTGTTCCTGAGGTTATACACTAACTTTGGCATGTTATTCAGACTATTAAATTGATATTTTTTTACTATGGACACTTTTATGAATTCCAATTTTTTTATCATTTTTTATTTTCATACAAACTAAATCCTTAAATGTAATTTATCTAATGTGAATTACTCTTTACCTGAGCTGGCAACGACGCATTTGAAACCTTGGTTCACATGTTCACATAAACTTTTTGAAACTTTTCTTGACGTCAACAATGTTTTTTAAAATTTTGACTTTTGAAACTATGACTTAATGACCATTGACAAAGAGTTGATAGTTTGATATTTTTGGTTGCACAAAGTGGCAACATCTCACAGATAAAGACTCATTCTCACTGAACAACACAATTAAGTTGGTTAAACTTAAATTACCAATAACTTAAAAACTATGCTATTTAAACTACTACTTTCTTTGTACGATATGTTCAACAAGAGCTATAGAAGTATTATTCAAAGTTTATGTATATCCTCAGGAACACGGTGTATATATATTACGGTAAATTAACTCAATATTAACAAAAAAATTTACATGGTTAACTGATAAACAACTAAAATACCTTTGTGAAGAGATATAATGTGTCTGGGGCTTCATTTAAGAACTTATTTATCTGCTCTGCTGTAAAAGTCTTGGATTTTTTCCCTTTATATCCTTGTGAGTTTCGTTTCAAAAATGCAATCAGCTTGCTATATTTAGTTATGTCAACTTCGTTGTAAATATTGAGTGTACTTTTAATTATGGAGTATTTAACACACATACTTGACACTTTATATTTTTCAGATAACTCTTGAAAACAACACATTTTCAGAAAATGATGTAGCATTTTTATTCATTTTCCATTCCATGAATTCGTGGTAACATTTATTATAGTTGCTCCTAGATTTCGCCGGCAACAGGTTCATGGTCATGTTTGACGCAGCCACCAGAATGTCTGGTGGTGTACAATCACCACTATCCCCGCTTTCAGACATGTTTTTACACAAAAACTTATGTATTTTAAAAACAAAACCAAACGTTGTTTAAATATTGAAGTGCAGACATCGATTGCGCATGCGTGTTGCGTCGTCGCGGACTCGTTCATTGAAACCTTTTTAAAGTAGAGGTTCAACCTCCTTGGTCCAGCTAGAGGTTGTATAGGTGTATCGTTATGATTGAAAATTTATATTATGTTACAGGTGTCCATACAAGACCTGTATCGTAATTAAACTTTTTTTTATAATAGTTGGCCTGTACGTAAAGTTTGTCATAAGCATTTTGTTTTCAGTTTTAGAAACTTTGTATTATAGTATCAGAGTAGATAATAGTTATTTATGAACTGTTGTATAATGAGGGGTATTAAAACACCAATGTGGGTATATCAACGACGCGAAGCCGAGGGTGATAATAGTATCATATGAGTGTATTAATACCTAATTATAACAGTTGCATGCAAGACTTTATCTACACCTATAATATGAATCCTCTATAAAAAATTCTGAAACAATGGGGGTTACAAGAATTTAAAATAAATGAAAAGTTTCGGCGTTTTGGTATTGAAGCGCGCGTGCATCACAATGTTATTTTAGTGAAATTCATAATACCATGCATCAAGCAGTGAAAATTGTGGCTCTCTAATGAGCAAGCCCTTGGCGCGAAAGGGATTTAAAAAGCGAAGGAGTGTTATTATGAAGTTTATTATAAAAAACATTATAACACCCAAAAAGGTGTTGCACATTGGATGTTTTAATGTTGGCAATAAGCTAACAGTTTCAGAATCTTTAATAGAGGTTTTAAAGCTTGGTTTAGATAAATTATTATTGTTAATTCACTCAACAGGACGTAGACATAATGACTGATCGACTATACCAAGAGATGCGGCGATACTTCTACACTACGCCGAGCAGCTATCTCGATTTACTCAAGCTTTACCTGAATCTTCTGGACAAAAAACAACAAGAGATCATTCGAGGCAGGGATAGGATTTCTTGTGGTTTACAGGTACAAATTATATTATTTTCATCTATAAGTATTGCTAATAACTTGTAGAATTTTACTCATTTTCAGAAATTAATGAATAGAAAATTATAAAAATATCGTAATTATACGGCAAAATCTATATTTCATACTAATTCAAATTCAAACATAGTGTCACGGTTTATTTAGGATTATACTAAATAAATCCCAGGTGCGGTGGTCATCCTTAACAAAAGTGGAAATTGCTGTAATTATGGTTTTGTTATACCTCTCAACAGTGTTCATTTGAGGAGTGTATCTTGGTGTGTAGTGACCTGGTATTTTTTGAATAAGCTACCTATTTCGCGGCTTGTGAACTGAACACCGTTATCCAAGATGACTGTTTGAGGTATGCCATGGATTAAGAACACATTGTTCTCCAAGTGCCCAGCTACTAAATCAGCAGTGGCCCTTCTTAAGGGGAACAACAGACAATATTTGGAAAAACAACATGTGACGACAAATATGTAACAATGCTGCTTCCGAGATGGTGGGAGAGGTCCCACTAAATCTATAGATAGTGTTTGAAATGGTCTACTACATTCTTTAGGCCTTCCTATTGTACCTAGTGTTCCATGAGTTGAAAGTTTATAGGCTTGACATGTATCACACTTCGAGACAAAGTCAACTACATCAGCATGCATTTCAGGCCAAAAAAAACGAAGAAGCAGCCTATTATAAGTTTTAAAAATCCCAAAGTGTCCAGATATGGGCTCAGAGTGGTTGTCTTTTAAAATACTTAGCCGTTTCTCTTTTGGGATCACTAATTTCCAATCGAACTCAGAGGTGAGGACATTCTTATTTTTCATGATACGAAACATGGAACCGTTACTCAAACGATAATTTGGGAAGCTATTCGGCGACTTTTGTAATCCCTGATATATTTTTAAGTACCAGGTATCCTCAGTCGCAGGAGTCGATTCAGTGTGGGAAATAGCCGCAAGAGTAGGTATTCTAGAAAGAGCATCGGGAAGAACATTGTCCTTACCACGGCGATGCTTTATGTCAAAATCGAAAGCTGATAGGCGGACTCCCCACCTAGCCAACCTGCCGGTAGGGTTTGTAAGTGAGAGAAACCATTTAATAGCCGAATGATCGGTATATACGGTGAATCGCATACCGTTTTCCAAATAACATCGCCAGTGCTCAAGGGCAACTAAAACTGCTAGCGTTTCACGTTCAGTAACACTATAGTTCTTTTCGGATCCTGTAAGAGACCGATTCATATAGGCGACTGGATGCTCGATTCCATCAGTGGTCTGAGATAGCATTGCGCCCACCCCAAAATCACTAGCGTCAGTGTGCACTTCAAATGGCCGACTGAAATCAGGACATGCCAGAATTGGGGCGCTTACCAACAGGGACTTCAGGGTGACAAAAGCGTTATGCGCATCGGTTGACCATTGAAAGGGAGGAGAACTTTTCTTTGTAGAGGTCAGTTTATTTAGAGGAGCACCATGCTAAAGTTAGGTATAAACCTTCTGTACCAGGAAGCCGTGCCAAGGAAACGCTTTCTTTGTTACCGAATTGAGTTTCCTTAAATCAAGACAAAAACGCGGCTTGCCATCTTTTTTCCCTACTACTAGGACTGGGGATGACCACGGGCTCTCGCACGGCTCAACAACATCAAGGGCTAACATTTCGTCAACTTGTTCCGTGATGATTCGCTGTTTTTCAGGTGACATGCGATAGTATCGCTGACGAATGGGTTCCGCATCACCAGTATCGATGATATGGGTTATAGCATCAGTTCTGCCCAGGCCAATCTTCTCAAAAGAAATTGCCTCAAAGCCCTTCACGACCTCATCAGCAACAGACTTCTCACTATCGGATAAGTTCTCATAGCTATAAAGAAATACCCCTTGTGATTCAAGGGTGATATCCATCAACCCGGGGTCATCATCTGAGAAATAATTTGCATTATTTAAATATTTAGGAAGAATATTGAATTTATGCCAAAAGTCTACGCCAAGAATCAAAACCGTATCCACTTCTGGAATGACATGTACTTTAATAATGTGTTCCTGGTCCTGAAAAACTAAAGGCACAAGCATGTAACCCCTAGAACTAAGCTTTTGCCCTCCTGTTGCATATAAATCCGAGTTTCAAAAGAACTTTATGGAAGTTCCTGCCCAAAATACTGACAACGGAACCTGAATCTAATAATCCATAACAGCTTAGAAAGTTCTTATTCTTTATATCTATCTTAATATATGGACGAGGATCATCACTCGGCTTAGCAGAGAAAACTGTAGCAACATTGTAAGATGAGAAAAAATTCTTTATCGTCAACAGCCAATCCTTCCAATCCGAGTTATCAAAATAATTGACTGGTGACTCGCTACAATTTTCTCTTACTCGTTTTTTTTTTTGCGATATTTTTGTCTCGTTACATACAGTGCATTCTGTAGAGCGTACATCTTTCTTACCACATTTAAAGCAGAATACATCTCGAGGAGCAGTACATTCCTTCATGCTATGTGTATCCACCCGGCAACGGTAGCAAAACTTTGTATTTGAGACGGCAAATACTTTATTGTTATAAGTTTTTGGAGTATTATCAGAGTAAGATTTAAAGTTGGTATTAAAATTTTTGGGAATAAATTTGTTAGGAGCACTATAAGCGAATTCGGGGGCTAGAGTCTTAGAGGATGAAGCAACTGGTTCCCTGAAGTTGGCAGATCGTGCTTTAATTTGTTCAAAATTTCTACATAGTTGTTTTAATTGATTTATTGACTCGACTTTGGGGCAATTAGCAAGAACATTATCATAACAAGGTCTTATGTTGTGCAACAAAATATCTAATTGTTCCTTCTCGTCCATGGGAGTACTAAGTCGAGAGAGCATGCCCTTCATTACGGACAAATAAATAATAATATTTTCTGCTTCTCCCTGAGTGCGACTACGAATTTCGGTAACCATCCGATAATCGTAATCAACAACATCGAAGTCCTGACGTAATCGAGTGACTAGGGAATCCCAATTATCAATGTCTTCTGCAACTGCCCTAAACCAATGAAGCGCGTCACCCGTAAAAATCTCGTAAGAGAGAGACATAAGCTTGTCTTCGGATATGTTTTTTGAATTTCGGAATTCGTTAAGTTTTTGTATAAATGATCTGACACATGTCTTCCCATCAAATTTAAGTTTAGAGACGTCAGAGGATAATCCACGATCACAGTGAACTGATACATTCAGGTTACCTAAAGAAGTAGAAGTTTTGGCCGAATCCTCAGCCATAAAGAAGGTATCGGGGTTTAGATCGTTACTTGACTTGGAAATTTTCGAAAACTGTACACTAAGGGCCTCGTATTGACTCTTAATCGATCTCCATGTAGAACTGTGTTCAGGCAATTCGGGTTGTTAAACCCGCCGAATCCTATGATAAAGATGGTTTAGTAACGACTGTGTTCGATTACATAAACTCTCTTCAGGCGCAGACAATAAATTATCCAAATTTGATTTTAACTTTTTAATAGATTCCGTGATCCCGTCAATATCATCGACAAATTCCAAACTTGAATCGGCTATGTCATCCGAAGGGTAAATTTGAGTCAACCTACAAACTTGCCGTCTCAATTCCATAACAGTACTAGCAGGCAGTTCACCTCTAATAGTTACCTCGTATTGTAACTCCGTCTTTTGAAGATGTAAAAATTTTATAGGCCGAGACATGATGAGTGATTAAAAAAAAGGTTGTGCAAATATAGACACAAACAGACTATGCTACAATACTAAAAGAAAACTACTACAGTAAGCCAAAGCAGTTAAATCCGTTCTGTCACAATAAAAAAAAAATATCAAGAACGATGAAGTGACATATATTTAAAATAAAAGAAAAAATATATGTATGCTAGACAGGGCAGCAATAATTAAAATTACAGCATAAAAACAAAATAAAATTGTGTGTTTTTCATAATAAGAAAAACATCAATAAAAAATAATGTGGGTAAGCAAATATTACTAACAATAGAAAGTATATTAACAGAGAACAGATTTTTATTATTAATATAATTAAGGATATTGAACAAGCACACAATTTAAATAATCAACTTCATCGCTTACAAGTTAACATGCACACAAACCAAAACCAGAAATAAAAAATATAGTGATCACTCTAACCAACCTCTAAACCTTTAAACTATAAGCGTGGGCGCCATTGTCACGGTTTATTTAGGATTATACTAAATAAAACGACAAATTAGGATTACTATACAATATACTAAAAGAAAATATGTAAGTTGTACAAAGACCAGGGTCGTAGGTAGGTTGGAGGTTGGAGCCAGAGAATTCACCGGAGCGGCACTCCCCTGTAAGGTGCAGCGTCTAGGCTACGTTTCCGAACTCGTCGCGACAGTCGGATCTTCGTCGGCCTTCGTCAGTCCTCAACTAGAGGTTTTCACGGACCAAGTCACCCGCACGTAGTTCCCAGTATGGGATGCACCAGCACTAATTATTATGAAAATCAAAACTTCACAATAAAAGATAAATAAAAACGTTAGTAATTGCAACAAGGAAGAATGACTTGCAACTCAATCTTTAGCTTCCAATGATACAGCCGTTCGTAATAGTTCGTATCAACAATTGTCTCTCGACGCGAGCTCTCCCCCCCCCCCCCCCCCCCCCCCCCCCGGGCGCATTCCTCCCGCGAACGCCTTCTGCGGGGTCTTGTTTACAAAGCACGCTTTGACGCAACGCGTTAGATTGAACATACAGTGTTCGAACATTTACAAAGCAATTAACGAACGTTACAATAGGATCTTGTATTTGTGACATTGTAGGTCACCCGCTTACGCACTACTTTCTTTTAACTACGCAGTAATATTACCATTTATCACTTCAAAACAGATCACAGAGGATGTATTTTTTGCGTAGTACCAAAACAGTGCAGAAATATTATATGTAAAATAGAAAACTCATTATTGCACATTTTTTCTTTAATGCGCTGTTTTTTATTGGAACGAAGTTCGTTTCCGCCACGGATGCGGGGTAGGCGAAAATTTACCGTCACAACCTAGTGAGGCAACTAGATGGGTAGCAGGGTGGGTCAGACCATAATATAACATTCGTGCATTAATTACTCACTTTGCGCTCGATGCAACAATCTACTATTTCGCTCTAGTAAAAAAGAGGTCCAAAAATAAACTGTTATTCTGTCGCCGTAAAGAGCTTAAAATTCTTTGAGCACATTGTGAACCCCTGTAATTACTAAGCCTACTTCAATAGTCTAGTATTTTATGATTATGTTAGTAAGTCTAACTCGCGCTTACAGAAACTGTACGAAACCTATGAAGTAGTAGGCGTAATGGAGCAACAGGTGCGCGATATGGAACCGATACTGGCGCGTAAAGCGGAAGAGGGCATCGCACTCGTTAACCGACTGAAGGTGGAACAGAAGGCCGCAGATGAGGTCAAGCAGGCTGTTATGAAGGACGAAGCCGCTGCTAAGGTAATAAAGATATACCTATAACCTATAAATATACCATAAAGCGGACAAGGACATCGCACTCGTTTACTGGTTGAAGGTAAGATAGGCAATCTGCCAATGAAGGTCAGGCAGGCATTCATCTGCATTATGAAGGACGAAGACACTGCCAGGGTAACAAATTATACCTATAACAGTGAAATAAAGGGGGTTTTGTTTGTGCTGCAATAGGCCTTTTTATACAGATCGCGACATAAATATACCTTATGCCATTGTGATTGGTAATGACAAAGTAATAAGGTAGGTTTTTGACTGTAGTTGAATAGATCTTTGCTCAAATCGGAAAGTAACTATTAAGCGACAGTCTGCAAAAGACTGGAAGGCTTGCACTCGTTAACTGTCTGAAGATGAAACAGAAGGCCGCAGATGAGGTCAAGCAGTCTGTTAAGAAGGACGATACCGCTACCAAGGTAATAAAAATATATAGCAGCGGAATAAAGGAGATTTTTGTTTGTTGTGCTATAGGCCTTTGCTCAGATTGCGACATAGTGCATAAAGCAAGCGAACGAGGGTATCGCACTCATTAACAGTAAAGAAGGAAAGCTGCCGTAAAGGTCAGGCAGGCTATTATGAAGGACGAAGACGCTGCCAAGGTAATAAAAATATACCTATAACAATGGAATAATCTTCATCATCATAGGGAGATTGGGCCATGACAATGGAATAATATGGCCAAAAATATACCTTTTATTCCATTGTGTTTTGATGGAATAAAGTAGGTTTTTGACTGTAGTTGAATAAGACTGCTCAGATCGGAAAGCAACTTAAGTGACAGCCTAGAAGACTTGCACTCCTTAACTGACTGAATGTGGAACAGAAGACCGCGGATGAAGTCAAGCAGGCTGTTATGATGGACGAGACCGATGCAAAGGTAAGAAATAAATACCTATGATAATGGAGTAATGGAGGTTTATGTTCGTCGTGTATTCGGCTCTTCCTCAGATCGCATCGTAAGTATTAAGCGACAGACAATAGAAGGCATGGCATTCTTAAACCAACTCGAGTTCTGCAGGTAGGTCGTAGAAAGGTAAAGCAGGTCATCATAAAGGACGAGGCCGCTGTGTTTAAAAAGATACCTTTAACAATGGAATATAACAGAAACCTCTTGTTTTCTTACCAAACCGTTTGATAAGCAATTGATTTCTTTTCCCATTTATATCTGGCCCAAAGAAAAATTTACTAAAAGTACTTTTTCGTACCTTTCGTTCAGATAAAAGCAGAAGAGGTGAAGCAAATAGCGGACGAGGCCAAGGCCGACCTTGCGATGGCTATGCCCGCAATGGAGGCCGCGCAGAATGCGCTCAAAGCCCTCAACAAGGCCGACATCAACGAGCTGAAGGCCTTCCAAAAACCACCGGCCTTGGTTCGCTTTGTCATGGAACCCGTGTGCATATTGCTCGGAGCGAAGTGAGTGGTTTATTTTGTTCTTTGATAAATAAAAAAAAAGCAGAAAACAGCCAGGAGGATAATTTAATCTATAGGCAGAAGGATAATTAACTAATCCATAGCCAGAAGGAACATTAATTAACTAAAGTAACCTAATATAAACTACCGGCCTTGGTGCGCTTTGCCATGGAACTCGTGCACGGAGCTAATGTACTTTGTTTTTTATTGCGAATTTTTGATTCATCACAAACAGAAAATAAAAGAAAAGAACGAACAGAAAATAGCAAAACCGATATTGGTATTGACAACACGTGTCGTTCGTCAGTCACTGAGAAATTCTACTTGAAACTTCGTGAAAATCCCAGTAAACGTAACATTATTTTCATATTATTTTTCGTATTAGTCATATTTAAAAAAATAAGATTAATCACAATTATTTTTTTATCGAAAAATAATAACAAATCTTATATTGTAACCCAGGACAAATCAGTAAAAGGAGACCTTGGATCTTTTCCCAATATTGCTCCAAATATGAATTAAAATAGGGAATCTGCGTGTAAAGAAACGCAATTTTTCATTGACTGACAGATGACAGTTAATACTTTTGGTTTAATTCGTTTTCTTAATTGTGATTGGTTGTATCAAAAATCACGTGATTTCCATCCTAGCTTTTATATATTATATTACAGTGGAGCCCCGGTAATCTGGCCCCTGGCTAATGCGGCACCCCCTATAATCCGACATCGTCTATTAAATACAAGTATTCGCTAATTAACGACTGAACAAGTTACAACTTGTACGCACCATCACTACTGTGCGCGACGCGTAGAGTATTGTTTTTTTTATATTTTTTTGTAAATTCTATAGCATTAATGACGTTACTTTTATAATAAAACGTAATCTTTCTATTGTGTTGTTTAATTTACTAAATTTGACATAGGTACATAACAAAGTATGATTTGTAATCTTATCATTGGATCTGTAATTTGTCGGATTACAAGGTACTCTTTTGTAAAAAAAAAACGGACTATAGGGGGTCTTAGGCAGTACTCTATAATCCAACAAATTCGATAGTTCGACACTGCCCTGCAAAATGTTTGTCGGACTACCGGGGATCCACTGTAATTTAAAGATGCACATTTACCATAAGATGTTTTCTGTGTTGCCATTAATATAAATGTTTAAATGACATTTTTATGCAGTAAATTTCGAATTTTAAAGGACGTACATCGTATTAACGAAATGCATAATTTTAACCGTCAATAGAGAAATAAAGGGGAATATTCTCAATATCTTTATTGTAGGCCTGACTGGGATTCGACAAAGAAACTTTTAGCCGATGTGAACTTCATACGCAATCTGGCAGAGTATGACAAAGACCACATACCTGACGCTACCCTCAAAAAAATTAAAGTGTATCTCACTCACAAGGATTTTAACCCAGATACAGTTGTGAAAGTCTCTAAGGTGAGAAAAATAATATTTTGTACCTGCATAACTACTTGGTGCCTGTGCCTTTTTCTACGTTTGTGTATAATTGCATAATTGATGCCCTGTGCATAATTAAAACTTTTATTTTTGTGTCGCTAGAAAGTCTAATCAATAATCTTTCTATACTAACAGTTACAAAAAATATTTAAGCGATTGTTCGAACTATGGGCATATGAGTTACTTTAACATTTATAATTGCATTGTAATTAATAAAACTACTTGACTGAAAAGCTGTAAGATAAACGTAAATAGAGCACTGATAATAGGGATGATGACTAACTTTTTTTTCATTGTCTATCAGATAGATTAGGTATAAAAAAGTATTGGACTCTTATTTTTTCAGTAATCAAAACATAACTGAAAATGTATTGATTTGAAATGTCGCATGACATCACGTCTTGGTAAAATTTTTAGTTAGAAATGACGTCACGAGGCGTGAGGACTCCCAAACTTTGATGCGCTTTATCTTTGACATTTATTGGTTGATAGACGAAAGAAAAAGAATGTATTTTATTTTTTGATAATATAATTGACGGACTTTTTATTAATTATTTCGTTTACTACCCCGTCATCATCCCTATGCTGAGGGATGGTTTCGAAATTATTCCAATTTGTTTATTATTGGGCCATGTAATTGCAACCATCACTATTTTTCCGGGTAACAACTTGATACATTCCATGCGAAATTTTGAAATCAATCTTCTTTTATGTCTGTCGCTTTATGTTACCTTTTATACACCATCACTCCCAAATAAATTCGAACTCTTTGGAAATTAACTTTTCCTTATTTTGTGTAGGTGTGTAGATCTATGGTCCTATGGGTGCAAGCAATTGATATGTACGCTAAAGTCTTCAAAGTAGTGGAGCCTAAGATCCTTGCGTAAGTCTTCATAAATTAATCTTTATCTCATTTAATGCTATTAATGTTTGACGAAAATGGGCAAACATTATTCCGATATTTGTAGATTTATGAAAATACATGCGACCGTCCGCGACTTTGTCCGCGTTTAAAGTAGAACTTTTTATTAGCTGCAGTAAAATGACGTTTTGTGGGTTACCGCATTTTGAAGAAAAATAAATAGGGATGTAGCTAAGTGAGTAAGTGAATCATTCAATAAATGAGTGATCAGTTTGGGTTTATTTTAGAGATTTAATATTAAGTTGTAATGTTTTTTTATTCTATTATTATTACTTTAGCAAAGGATTGATCTGTTTCAGTGGAAGTATAAGGACGTACATCCAAAATTAAACAAAATTGTCATAACAAAGTTTTTTATCAATCATTTTCGGAATCACTATCGCTTCCGGTCACACTAATGACAAATCTGTCTGTCACTTCATCTATAATATGATGGGCGCGTTGTCCATTACGACTACTGCATTCGGCTTGAGTTTGGGTAGAATGCCGTCGAACCATTCCTCGAAACACTCTGCATTCATTTAATCATGGTAATCTTCTGTACCTTTCTTTGCTTCAAACATAAGAAGTCCGATGTCCAGGAAGCCTTCTGCTCCATCTATGTGACTGATTATGAGTCGTTTGCCCTTTCCTGTGGGATTTTTTAATCCCGTAGTTAGACCGTCTAAAAATGCCTGCCGAGAAGATTTTATACTTCCACCACTCCAGGTTTCTTTTGTAGTATGACCTGAAAGAACAAAAAATAATCATATGTTTCGATAGCTAAATAAAAGGGAATCAAACATAGAAAACTAAGAGTTGCCACTTACCAGCGTTGATCCAGGTCTCGTCTTGATAATATATGTATCTTCCCTCCCTACGATATTGTTTAATTAAACGCAGGTAGCGCTGGCGCCATGATATGATATCTTATCTGTCAATAAGTACGCTCTTGCGTGTTCGAGTAGCGAATTTGAAATTAAATGCTTCATAATTTTTCTCAATGTCTCTTTCGAGAAGTTGGGCAATTCTGAGTCATCATTTACAACTTGCAGCACCTAAAAATTATTGACTGATTATTACCTAATTGGTTAAAATTTCACATGGGGTGGGAGAAAACATATTATACCTAACGAATAATAATAAGATTAGTGATGACAGGTAAACTAACCTTTGCGATGGTCGGTACTTCATTTCTATGACAGAACTGATGTACAATTCGTCTAATAGCGGTGAATGTGAAATCATCAAGTTTTTCTTTAAATGTAATTTTTGGGCCAGGGTTTTCGGGAGGTTTTAGTGATTCACAGTCGTTCTCCTTGTGCTCCTTTAAAACGGAATAAACAGTGCGGACGGATATTCTCAAGACTTCAGCCACCTTGTTGACGCATTCACTTGTTTTTGGAACTTAAATGTTTGATTCTGTAGATTTCACTTAAAACACATATTTTTATACGTTTCTGACCCAAAGTTACTCGGTTGCTCTTTATACACCCTTTTATTTATGTGAATAATAAATAGAATTAAGTATTGTCATTATGAGTTACTTATGGAACGATTAAATTTTCTGTGAACCTTAGCACATCCCTATTGAAATTAGGCTGTCAACATTATTTTACGGAATGACATTTTGAAACGTCATTTTACTGCAGCTAATAAAAAGTCGAAGTATAGTTTAGTTTTTTGAGAAATCTTTGGGAACTTTACATTTTTTCAGAATAAAAAGTATCCTTTGTCACAATCCAGGTCATAAACTATATGTGTGCCAAATTTCATCCAAATTCGTTCAACTGTTTTAGTGTGATTGAGTAACATACAAACTTTCACATTTATTTAAGTTCATTTTAATTTTATCATGATGTGCTTGATTCGGGCAGGTTTCTGTAAACCTAAAATTGACAATAGTATGTCTTTATCATGCTCTATATGCCCTAAGTGCTCTATACAGACTGAAAAGGAGAGAATGTTGTCAAAATTTTAGTTCAAGTTAAAAAGAATTGTGTGAAATGTTCATTTAGGTTTATGTTGCATATACACATTTAAAAGTACTGGCTTTTTAAATAATATATGTCGATTATAATGTACACAGCCATAAAGAAGCAGCAGCCATATTGAAGAGCGTAATGGCTGTGTTAAGAGCAAAGCAAAAAGAAGTAGAAGCGATTGAAGCGCAACTAGCTAAAATGATGGATGAATTGAGGGTATTTATTACACACACATGTGATTAGTTCTAAGTAGTTTCTATTTAGATTCTATGAAAACTTTAATATGGCGCCTATTAAGTCTCCTTAATATGGTGATTGGCATTGTGTGTTGTTTGGTGTTTACATATAAAAATAATTAGATTCAACTGATAACAATAGCACAGTAATATATTTTAAATAAGAACATGGTGGTAAGCCTGCCTTAGTTTGGTTTCAATTCCAATCCAATTAACAAATTAGAACAAATGTACACTATATTTTAAGTCGACGTTAAATGCATGTAGAATATTTTTAGGACCATGTGATAATAATAAGATAATAGCCACAGGGATATATTGAAGACAATTTTGGCAAAACGTGTTGCTATTCGAGAATAAATTCTTCTTGAAACTACATGAGCGTACCTGTTAATGTAATGTCAATGTGTGCGGGAAAGAAACAGCGCTGTGTTCTGAGCTGTCTCTCTGTTTGGGTGCGGCGCTTATACTATTTACTATTTATTCCACATACAATAAAATTATGGAATGAGCTCCCCAGTACTATTCAAGTCCGCTTCAAGAGAGGCTTATATAGTTTTCCTCGAAAGGCAGAGGCATGGCAGTGTCACTAGCATTGCCATGTGTGACGGTGACCACTTAACATCAGGTAGTCCGTCCGCTCGTCTGACTTCGTCTATCATCAGATATGTTGCAGCGTTAAGCAATTATATTTTATTTATTTATTTTATTCCGGATAACAAACAGTCATGTACATCGATATTATTTTTTCATTACAGTAGTTAAAGTTATAGATAGACCTTGAGTGCCAACACATAAGTCTAAAAATACTTAAGAGGAACAAAAACCTGTATTTAAGTGCTCATGTTAATAGACAATTGGTTCTTCAATATTACACTGGAGTCATAGATATTATAATGATATGAAAAACAAAACGTAACTCTAAATTGACATTGTATAGTTCACAGTAAAAAAATCTATTTAACTAAATTATAGAGAACAAACAATTAAATAAGTTATTCTTAAATTTGTTTACAATATTTGAGAAATGGTCAATATTTGCAAATGATGTATTCTAAGCGGTATCGTAAAAATATTTATTTATTTATTTAAACTTCATTGCCATACATATGCAAACGGCGGACTTAATGCCATAGGCATTCCCTACCAGTCAACCCGAACGAGTGTTAGAGACAAATGGAATGGCGATAGGGCAAAATGCTTTGTAATAAAACATTTAGAAAAAATATGTCAAATACGTCAAGAAAATGAAGGCAATAAAAACTGAAGACCTTCCTTCACATTCGGAATTTTTCATCCAGGTGGTGGAAGAAGAGCGTATCAAGCTGCAAGCAGACGTTGACCTGGCGGCGGCACGTCTGTCCCGCGCCGGGAAACTGACCCAAGCTCTGGCGGACGAGAAAACTCGCTGGGAAGAGAGCGTTAAGGTATGACAGTAGAAACATTCGACAATATTCATCCAAGTGCTGGAAGAAGAGATTATCAAACTGCAATTGGACTTTGACCTGGTAAATGGGAAACTGACCTAAGCTCTGCTGGACGAGAAAACTCGCTGGGAGGACAGTGTTAAGGTATGAAAGTAGATACATTCGGTAGCATTCCTCCAGGTGGTAGAAGAAGAAAGTATTAAACTGCAAGCGGACGTTTACCTGGCGGCGGCGCGTCTGTCTCGCGCCGGGAAACAGACGCAAGCTCTGGCGGATGAAAAAACTCGCTGAAAGGATAGCGTTAAGGTTATACTTTTAAATGAAGAAACAAAAAACATCGTTATTCATGAGTTATAATACTTGAAGAAATTCGACACGGCCATTAAGATCGCGGTAGCATAATAGTTCAGTGCATCCGCCCTGATAGCGTGTTTAAGTCCCACCTGCTGCCTGGACCGTGGGCAATTTTTATAGTAAAATTTTCTTTAAGGTCAACAGCAATGTAATCGATTACTTTTTCTCTGTCTAATATAGTGTTTAATAACTCTTACATGAAAAGAATATTTGCTGTCAATAAAATATTTACTACGGTATGGAACCATTTGTTTGCGCTTCCGACGCGGTTTCAACAGACTAATAGTATTGTACATTGTTCGAAATGAATAAAGAAAGAAAGAAAGAAAAATGTTTTTATTGTTGACAGCACATAATAAATAACCTAATATTTTGATCAGGCTGCAACGCACAAATTATACTGCACGACCGGCGACATCGTAATAGCTTCCGGCTGCATCGCGTACTTCGGTGCGTTTCCCTCGCACTACCGCCGCGAGCTCGAGCGGAAGTGGATAGAGGAATGTAACGTGCTGGAAATCCCTTCTTCAGACTCTTTCGAGTAAGACTGCATTATAAATTACTAGCGGCTATCACCCACCAATCCCCAATTATAATCCACCGATCCCTTATTATCACCAACCAATACCCTTATCACCCTCGATTCCTTTTGATTTCGTTAAAACCAATTTTCGGTGGAAATTTGCACGGTACATCATATATTTTTTTTAGTTTTATTATTCTCTTATTTTAGACGTTACAGTGGGGAACACACATTTTACCACGTTGGAAGTGTGTCTCGCTTAAACTATTGAGTTTAGAAAAAAATAATATTAGAAACCTCAATATCATCTTTGAAGAGATGCTTAAATACCCGTTTGATGAAAAAAAAATTTTCGCGTTTCAGTTCTTAAGTATGGGGAAACCCCAAGTTTTATTGTTTTCTTTTCTATATTTGTGTGTAAATCGTAATGCAGTTCATAGAATATATGTACTTAACAAGTTTCAATAGCATAGTTCTTATAGTTTCGGAAAAAAGTGGTATAAAACCTTCGGAAATGCATTTTTTCAACAAGTGTGTTGAAAATTTTATTATCTCGATCTCCTCCGTTCTTTAGAAGCCACGTTATGCAGTCAATCGTGGGTGCAGCTACAGTCGTTATCAAACAACACCCACTGTACCGTAATGGGCTCAGGTAGTGGTACACGGCCCTTTCTCTCAATTCCATAATAGAGAATGTCTCTTAGGCATCTCGCGCATTAGACGGCCTCTGACCGTGGACGTGCCCATCTAGTGCGCAAAATGCCTTATGATACGCATTTGACCGTTCTTTTTTTAATATTGAAAATTAACCTCAACATCTAGTGATGTGTTGATCGTATCGATTTGGTTGCAGCCTGATATCCATAATGGCTGATTCGTACACGGTGCGCACGTGGAACTCGCAGGGGCTGCCTCGCGACGCGGTGTCCACGGAGAACGGTATACTGGTGACGCGCGCCGGCCGCTGGCCTCTAACCATCGACCCTCAGGAACAGGTATATATGTCGCACTATGATAGATGTGGTCGCAGCCTGGGGGCTTAGACAAAGTAACAATTTAAAAACGATAACGAAGTTCGAAATTAATAAAATGTATGAAACTGACATAAGCCTCGCTAAATCACGTGGTCAATCGTCATCGTCATCGAAAGTTGGTAGACAAAGTTACAATTCGTAACGAAACGTTAAAATAATGAATTGTTTGAACGCTTAATCCCATACAAATGCGTAGACAAGCTGCACTTTTGACGTTCGTCTTCGCTGCGATCGCGATCTTCGAAATCGTTAACGAAACGAATGCTAATACGCTGTAGATAACACAACAACATGGCCGACTTTGTTCATCAGCTGTGATTTTGTTTAAGTTGTATCAAATAATCGTAAATCAAAGTATTTAAAATGCATTCACTACATTTACTGTGGGCAGCACATAATGAAACCATCTGGAAGAGACGCCAAATGCGTTTAAGATTGAGACTTTAATTAGAAAAAATTGAAGATATGCCTGAGTTGTTGTTTATCCAACATTTCAGGCTTAATAAAATCACATTTAGGCGGTTATGTGACGACCTAAAAGGTCATGCTAGATTAAGTGGTTCCTCTGAAATTCCTCTGGAGATAAAGGTAAGAAATTTCACATTAACTTATTTAATTAAATTGTACTTGAAAAATAAGTCATTGCACTTTATAACCTATCTTCAAAGCATCTTGATTTTCTTAACTTCGTACAAACATTTGATAGTATATTTGATGGTATAATGTAGTTTTTAACTGCTGTACCTAAATTAAAATAAAACCTCGTAAGTACTAATTTAAAATAAATCACAATGCACTATTCTATTTCCAGGTGCTGTGTACTCTTAGCTTTTTAGCTACAGGGTCATACCAAAGGATTGTGGGTGTGGGTCAGTATTTGACACAACGAACTACAAGTCGTTGCATCAGAGAGGTTGTGAACGCCCTTAATCACAATTGGACAATCAACAGGTGGATAGTGTTTCCACAAACACCACACGAGAGATCACTTATCAAAGAGAAGTACAAACATATTTTTTTTTAAATAGGTTAAATAATTTATAACTTTCCTAAAGCTAACTTTTGTTGTAAAATTGGTAAATACGTACCTTATTTACAGATTTCAAAGGAAACATTGACTGTACCCATATTGCTATAACCAAACCAAGCGAGGAAGAACACATATTTTTTAATAGAAAAGGATATCATTCCTTAAATGTGCAAATGGTAAGCAGCTAGATAATCTCTAATCATTTATATAAGAAAGAATGAAACTTGAATTAATGTTGTTTATAGTTTCCCTTTAACCTATTTTTCTATTATTATTATATTATTTATTTCTATTTTTCACTTATTAATAAAATAATATTTGGCTTATTTTATAATGTGAAGAAAAATATTATATCAGATTAAGTATTTTAAAGTGGACCTAATTCTCTTATTTTTATTTGTTTTTCATACCAGATATGTGATTATGATTTAAAAATAATAAATGTTAACTCCAAATTTGGTGGAGCTACACATGAATCCCACATATGGTCTGCAAGCCACGTGGAGACATACATGCATGGGCTTCATGAAAATGGTGAACATGTTTGGTTATTAGGTAATACATTGTTTATTTATGCATAAAACTTTCCTGACCTTTAAAAACAACTCAAAAGGTGGATTTAATACTGAATTATTCTCTGCCTTAACCCGTGGTAAAAATTATATACACATAAATTCATTTAAAGATACAATATAAATATACATAATCTGGAAATTATTTATTTTTCAGGAGATTCTGGGTATCCACAGAGGCCCTGGTTAATGACGCCTGTATTAAATGCTGAACCAGGATCCCAGGAAGACAGTTACACACGACGTCATGTCCAAGCCAGGTCTCGTATTGAACCCTGTTTTGGATTACTCAAGGCTCGTTGGAGGTGTATGCTTTGAGATAGAGTTCTTCACTATCACCCTAACATGGCTAGCAAAATCACTAATGCATGTTGTGTGCTGCATAACATTGCATTAGATGCTAGAATACCACCGCCAAGTGATGCACCAATCGGAGGTCTAGAAGCTGGTGAAGAACCTTCTATGCTACAAAGCATCTCCACCAATGATAATGAAAATGAGTTAATCCGAGGCAGGGCTATGGGTAGTTGCTTAATAAGTAGGATGTAGTTGTATCCGTGGAAACCTCTCTGATATCATATTTATTATTTACATACATCATCTGGATTGTCCTATTAGCATTTGATATTTTTTTCGTATATAATTCTTCTATTAAAGTTAGAAACAATTATGTATAAGAGTTTTTAATATTTCTTATAGTTATTTGTTTTAAGAACATTCCAAACAATTAGTCCGGTCAAATTAGACCAAAAGATAAGAGTAAAGCTACCTGAATTCCCACCAAGCTAGCTAGGTAGCTTCGAATGTCTAAATTGACCGGACTACATAATGTAATTTTAAATATAAAAATAGTTAATTATTTAAATTATTAAATCTTAAGAAAATATAACTAGAAAAAATTCCACGCGGACAATGCAGCAGACGGGACTCGAACCAGCATCCTTCGCAATCCGGGCGAATGCACTGACCAATTATGCTACCATGGCCCTGATGGCCGCGTCGAAATTCTTCTAGCCATTCCTAAGCTGCAAGGTAGCGCCTATATTTTCTTTAGATTTAAACATCAAGCAGTTACATGCTTAAAAATAAAAATTATAAATATTTAAATGATCTTTATGTGCTGTTTTTAGTCATAAAAATATTATTTATTCAGCGCTTTTGATATACCTTCTAGAAATATAACTTATTTCCTATAGATGTGTTTATGCTGTGGTTCAAAAAACTGAATTTAGATTGTCAATTCATGCATCTTCGACTGTGACAGTAAAATTAATGTATTAACCTCGATGTTGTTTCTTAAAAGAAAAAAAAATACATTATATTAATTTTGTAAGAAACTGAAATAAAGAGAGAGAAGGATGTAAATGTATAAATAAAATTACTGTTAACTAATATAGTGTTTTTATTAACATAAACAAACATCGACACATACATCCATACCAACTTTGCGTTTATAATATTAGTAGGAAGTGGTACAGTAAAACAAAAATATAAATACGGCGCGTTTTTTTTTTGGTTCCTCCCAGGCGGGGGAGCGAGTGTGAAATCCTCATGGATATCCTACAGCCGGCTGCAAGGTTATTTCAGACTCCTACTGACTAAAACATACCCGTAGTACATGCTTATGGCCTGAAGGGCCTTACAAGCTTCACGCTTGTGTGTTTTGTGGTTTGCCTTCTATCACAAGGACAACAGAACCGCTTAACATTGATATTGAGAACTATTCAGTGTTCAGCGGTTCTGGTTCCGGTCGTATTCAACCTCCAACGCTCGCAAGTCCCGCTCGTGCTGGAGCCTGGTCCGGGTGTCCTCCAGCTCCAGGCGTCGTAACTCGATGGCCGCAAACTCGCTCGCCGCTCTCTCAAAGGGAGTCGGGGCTAGTCTACGGCGGGCGCGCAAACGCGGGCGGCCGGGAGAAGCAGTAGACTGCGATGTCGCCGGCGATCTCATCCGCGGACGACGCCCGGCAGTCGGGAGAGTAGCAGATGCGCCGGGGGCAGGTGGCCGCCTCCGCCTCGGAGGAGTAGTGGGGCGGGTGTGACTGGCGGGGATGGCGGAGGCCGCCCTGAGAAGCCTCCCTGCGAGGAAGGTGCAGCAAGTACGCGAGGGCGGGATGGTGCTTCGGACTGGGATGAAGTGGAAGGTTGTGGTGATGTAGGCAGATCCGGCGTTTCTAGAAAAACAAAATTAGTGTATAAATATAAAAAAAAATACTAGAAAAAAGCAGGCCAGGCAGCAGGAATTACGCGTGGATTTTTTTCTAGTATTATTTTCTTTAGAGTTAAACATCTACCAGGTAAATGCCTAAAAAATATACATACATATAACCAAAATTTGTATTTAAATCTTAATAAAATATATCTATAAAAAATCCACGCGGACCAGGCACTAGTCAGACAGACAGGTAGTTATATTTTCTTTAACATCAAGCAGTTAAATGCTTAAAAAATAAAAATTATAATAGGATAGTTCAAAGGTCTGAATTAAAGTGCTCAAAGAAACAAATTCCTCCTTTCATTTAAAATGATAAGGAAGGAAGGATTTCTAATTTAATCTAAGAAATCATGAAACTGAGGTTGTCTAGTAAATTTAGAGAATCCAGGACATTCATTAATATCATAGAATTGAATTTGCATAATTACATTAACATTTATTATAAAATAAATAGAAAAGACGTACCATTTACAATTTCCAAATAGATTGGATTATCTTGGATGATAGGTGGAGATAATTGTGTGGGTGCAGCTGATTGGGACTTCTGAAAAAAATTGGTACATAATAATAGGTTTAACACTACAGAATAAGTAATTATTACAAATATCATCATCAGCAGCCTATTAATGTCCCCACTGCTAGGGCACAGGCCTTCCCTATGAATGGAATAGGGAGATAACCGCTTTTTAATATATAAACTAGAATACACATATATTATTATGTACTTTATCACTAACCAGTTTTAACTGATTTACCTATCAAAATATAAAAATGGGTCTGTTTCTTCATTATAACTAAGTAGGTACCTTTTGTTTACATTTAGTAATCTAATTTATTTATTTAATATGTATTATTGACCATTGTAAGTAGAAACTTGAATATAAAATACTTACATTAAATCCAAGCTCTTGTACAGAGGCTTGTCCTTCCACTGCTAAAGGGCCCATAATGGCCAGCACCCTTTCATCAAGAGCCGACAAGATTTGCCGGCTTGCTGGCCCACCACCGGTCCCTCTTGCATGACTCCTAATTATTAGCCCTTTCTTCTTGGTCTTGGATTTCCAATCCGCCCACACCTTTATTGAATAATTTAAATAAATGAATATAGATCTGTCTTAGTAAGTACTAACCATATAACTGAGTAT